TGGAAAGGCCTCATTCTCCATTGGGCCCATATTGTTAGTCCTATGGTGGAGGACATTGATCCCAGGAGGCTCATAGTTTTCTCTGCTGAGGAAACACTGAATGCTAACATGTCTTTGACCTTTCTCCGAATTTTCATACCCCTTTCTGGGGATAGTTGGACAGAACCTTTTGCAGTGTTGAATGATGCTCCTAGATATATCATGCTCTGGGATGGGTTTAGGTTGCTTTTGGAGAAATTGATCTACCATCTGTGTTGTTGAAGATACTGTATACATATCAGGCCGTGATCTTCTAAGATATCTCTGCTTTCTGCCAGAATCAAGATGTCGTTGAGGTAATGATATACTGCAATGCCTTTTTTCCTGAGTTCTGCGATTAGAACCACCAGAACTTTTGAGAAAGTACGCGGAGCAGTGCTTAGCCCAAAAGGGAGAGCACGGAACTGAAAATGACCCTCTTCCACAGCGAATCTGAGGAAATTTTGATGCTGGGGTGCTATGGGAATATGGAAATACGCATCTGCCAGGTCTATTGACATGAGCCATTGATCTGGAAAAACTGCTTTTATAATGGATTGAAGAGACCCCATCTTGAATTTCCTTATGTTTAGTAACTTGTTTAGTCTGCTTAGGTCTAATATTGGTCTCCATCCTCCTGTGGATTTTCTGGTGAGAAAGATATGGGAGTAAAACCCATGTGTCCGTTGAGCTCTTGGAACTTGAACGATAACTCCATCTTCTTGAAGGGATGAGAAACTTTTTTAGGGAATTTCTTTTTTCTACATCTCTTGGCCAGATTGTCTTCTGGAAGGAGTGAGGTGGCGGCCTTGTGGAGAATTCTATAAGATAACCTCTTTGTATGATATCCAGCACCCATCTGTCTTGAGTTGAATGTTTCCACATATTCTGGAATAGTAGTAGACGGGCACCTACTCCTCCAGAATGGGAGGTGGGTTTGTCATAAAGGCTTCTTGTGAAATGAGGAACCTCTAGACTTTCCTCCTCTGTTGGATGAATGTCCTCCTCTCCATGGTATAGATCTTCCATATTCTCTTCCCGGTTTATAAGATCTGGTATCTCGAAAAGAGGGGTATTCAGAGTATCTTCTGGCTCGAAAGGATCCACGGGTTTTCCGGTCTTGTGGGAGAAAGGCTTTTTTACCTTCTGCAGCTCTTTTGATGCACTCGTCTAGATTTTTACCAAACAACATCTCACCATGAAAAGGAAGGGCGCATAGACTAGACTTTGATGATGAATCTGCGGACCAGGATCTCAGCCATAAAGCTCTTCTAGCTGAAATTGAAAGAGCCATGTTTCTTGCTAAAGCTTTCACCATGTCCACCGAGGATTCTGAGGTAAAGTCAACGGCCAGTTTAATATCATTTAATCTTTCCAGAAGAGAAGATCTGTTTCTCCCATCTCTGATATCTTCTTCCAAGTTTTCGATCCAGATTTTTAAGGCCCTGGACACTGAAGTAAAGGCTATTGCAGGGTGAAAACCAGTCCCTGCTGCTACATAAGCTTTTGAGAGATGCAGATCTATCTTTTTGTCCATTGGGTGTCTAAATGAACCTGCATCATCTACTGGTAATGTGGTATGTTTTGCGAGTCGAACTACTGCCGCATCCACCTTAGGGGCATTATCCCAATGGTATGAATCAGACTTGTCAAAAGGATAGAGGCGAGATATTCTGCCTTGTGCTTAAAGCTTCTTATCTGTATTAGACCACTCTTCTTTAATTAATTCCTTGATAGTATCATGCACTGGAAAGGTTGCTCTTTTCTTTCTCAAGTCTGAGAAATAACGATAAGAGGTTGACTGCTGTGCAACTGCCTCCTTCAAGCTCAAAGATTTACGGACTTTATAAATGAGGTGGTCTATCTGAGCAGGTTCTAGAAAATCTGCAGGAGCCTGAGTTTCTTCTTCGTCTGAAGATAAGAAATTCCCCTGGTATGATTCCATATCCATGGACTCATCTGACGAATCATTATGTTGGTAATCCGAAGGTTCATGTAACCGGGGTCTTTTGTGACTTGCACCTGCTTCTTTGATACCTTGAGTCAACGCTTGTTTTATGAACTGTACAAATTCCATTGAAGGATTAGATGTTCCAGCCGCTTCCGATAAACATTCTGCACATAACCGTTTGCCTTCCAGCGGTTTATTATTACAGGCATCGCATTGATTTTTCTTTGGAGATTTTCCTTTGGATGATCTCACAGTTTTCTTTCCCGTAGAACTATCATGATAGGGAAATCTCATATTAGCACTCTTTTACTTTATGTATCATATACCAGAAAAGAAAATAATGATATGATATGGCTTACCTATAACTCTTAGAGTGTGACCTATTTTTATATCCAGAAGAGTCCGAATCAGAAGAAATTGATCTCCTTTTGTCTTTCTCCATTTTGGAGATGATTCCGAACAGTCTACAAAAGTAATTTTATTGTTATAGAAAGAAAGGAAGAAGAAAAAATGTGTATATACCTTTAAGAAGAAAAACTTACCTTTAAATATTTCTTGCAATAATTAAATGCTATTCAAAGTAGAAAATTGTATGAAACAGGTCCTCTAAAGACCTAATGAGAACCTAAGGTAACCTATTTATACACTTTTGGGGCTTAAATGGGCGTGTGACGTCATATCTGACGTCACCGCCTATCCGCGCATGCTCAGAACGAGCGAATTCACCGCTCGCTAACTGCGCATGCGCGGCACAAACCCGGATGCAACCTCCGAGCAGGAGGCACCCCCACGGCAGCCGGAACCCAAGCGCAGATTTTGGCGTGCGCGTGGACATAGCGCGCACCAGGAGAAACAGGACGCCGAGAAGGCATGTGAAAGATTGAAGCAAGGTACAAAGAAATCATAGGTAGGGGGGGGGGGAAACCCACATATATGTTTTAAACAAATACAGAATATATGTAGAAAGTATTTGTACATACATACATGTGGGGTGTACTTCCATATGTAGAAATCCATCCAGGATAAGGTCTTCTCACCACTTCCTGCTACCTCTTGGTCACTGCAGGGAATCAGAATTATTTGGCATTTTTTCTCTTGCTACCCCTAGGGTCACTGCAAGTAAAACCCCCGGTCACTAAGGGGGTATCTTCAGGGGGACACCTTTGCACAGGGCCGGATACTGAAGCTTACCAAGGAAGAGAGGCTGAACTTCCTTGGGGGCAGAAGGTAAAAACCCTCAGGTAAGCCATAAAAGAAAAAGTGATTATAGTCCTGAAGATAGACTAATTTGGTCCTATAGGGATAGGACAGGAACAAAAAGACTGAGGGAGGAGGAGGTAGGAGGGGGTATTTGTACCCTTATTTTAATTAGTTCCTGTCTAACTAGGGATAGGGGAGGAGCTACCCATTGTTGTGCTGCCATGGATATGGCCAGGAAATAGACTTTACAAGTCCAGAGTTTAGGAGCGTCTTTAATGGACATTAATTATTAGACATGTGATATCACAATCTAATATAGACAAGGTAGAGCCAGGGCAAAAATTGCAAATGAAGAGTAGGAAAATGTTAGATTGTTTTATGTCTCCTCTTCGCAGTATGCTTTCTTGATGTTGGCTGCCAGATGCAAAGAACACTGCTTATAATAATGACTGTCAGGGAAAACTGATGGCATCTAGTTGCAACTTGATATACAAGATTGATTTCTAATTTAATATATAACAGATTGTTCACCTTTAAAATTGGAAACCTGCATAACAAGATGTGCACTAAGTTTCTTCATTGCAAACTTAATGGTAGCATACCCGTAGTGTATTTTTTTTAAAAAAAAAAACCAAACAACTAAATTTATATTAAAGGAAATGAAGAAACGCATGGGGAAAAAAATGGTAATCTACATGTCCTGTATCAGGGCTCCAGGCTTTCATAAGCTAGTGTAAAAAAAAAAATATAAAAAAAAAAAAAAATACAGGCAGCCTGGTTGGTGAGGATTTACTTTACCTACAGTTGCATACCAAACCCAGCAACTGAATGGAGGATAACAGACAACAACTTTCTGATTTCTGGGGGACTCACTCTGTTATAAGCAGTGACTGGTAACAGTAGACAAACAACTCATGCAGTGACATCACATTCATCCAACGCAAGCCTCAAGCAAGGCAACTTTGCCTAATTTAATACTAATCCGTATTAAATTAGGCAAAGCTGCCTCACATAGGTGATGGAGTGGAGATGTAGATGTGACAGGTAGATTAAACTGACATGGAGAGGGAATTGTGTAAAAGATGAGATTGAAGAGATGCAATTGGAAGAGATTGAAGTATAAGTGGCATGGCGAGGAGAAAGGGTTATAAAGTGTGTAAAAGTGGCATGGCGAGAAGTGTTAGAAATGACAGGTGAAAAGATTGGATTATTTGATGTGACAGGAGAGAGGAAAGGGACTTGGAGGTGGTACTGGCTGTTTGCAAGTGATAAAGTGAGAGAAAGTGGTGGCTGTAAGAGAAAAGTGATAGTGATGCACACTATGGCATTGGCTAGTGAAAGAAGGGGAAATGGATGGAAACATGCACAAACACCAAAACATTTACAAACACTATCTCTGCATGATTAAAAAGAACACTCAACATAAGTATATACCTACAGTCACACGTGCACATCCCTGATGTTTTGCAGCTATTTGCAGACATTTTGTGAAAAGGAGTGGTGTGACTACCAGGGAAGAAAGCTATAAAACTAATTTTTAAGAAAAAGTGAAGAGTTGTGAACATGGAGTAAAATATATTATAAATAGGAACCTAAAAGCTCAAATGGACTCCGTGTTGGTGCATCTTTAACATACGCTGTATGCCATGGACAGAAATAAAAACGCATTTAAGGTGGTACGCATTAAGCCTGGTTAGAAGATGAATATATAAAATGTGAAACCTTATTTTATTATCTAAAATTAATCAGTTCCCAGGTTATGTTCTCTTACATGAAAACTGTTATGGCCAAAATCAGATTACAAAAATGGCTCTTCGATATCAGAATCCATAGGAAATATTTGCATATTGTCCAGAAACCCCCACCACAAAACACATAACATAAGAGTACATTATCTAACCGTATATATCTAAACATATCTACCAGAATATTTAAACAACAAATCTGAGCAACTGAAACTATCGACAGAAAAAAGTGACTGCCAGATATCATTACACATTCAAGTTTATTGACTTGAAGCATTGATAATGAATAGCCATTACCAGAAAAAGATGTAGTTTGGACATCTGCCGTTACAAGGAACCATCTGTTTTATGAATCTAAGAGCGTTAAATAAAATTTAAAAAAAAATGTAAAATAATAATATATATATTTCTAGATTTGATGTTCAGACCTTGTAAAGTAAGCAACTTTAACATGGGGAAAAAAAATATCTGCATAGTTAAAAAAATTATCCAAAAAGTTATACCCAAAATAAAACCAGATTATTATAACTTTATTTTACCATGATGTATCTTTCAACTATTACTGTTATACTATGTCCATATATGGACATGGAAACAAGGAGCCCAAAATGGTTAGCTAACAGCAAGTAACACATTTTCTAATAATAGATTTAATAATTATTCTCTACATTTTGGTATCAAAGTCTCTTGTTCAAAATTTACATACTGTTAAATACATGCCGAGGTTGGTTCGTGAACATTCTGAAACTTCTTGCATGTGGGAAAATGAATCTAGCTTATTTAAAATGTCCATAACAAGAAAATCATTTTACCCAATTCAAAGCAATTTGTTTAAACAATATAAAAATAAAACTATTAACACTAAACAACCTAAGTCTATACCCAGTGCAGACAATGTGGACAGCTATCACACTTTAATGAGTTAATTTAACAAAAACTCAGCTTTGAGAAATTATGCAGAAAAAAAAAAAGGCAAAAGGCTTATTCTACATTAAAAAAATAGATTTTAAAAAGTTGGAATGCACCATCAAAACAGGTGAAAGTTTGCAATTTATTGAAACAGAACTCAAAAAATATAAGAGGTTGTAGTGTACAATATATTACATAGAGCACTCTTGAGTGCATATTCATTCAAGTATGAAAAACATATCCCGAACCCCAGGACAATCATGCACATTTATTGTCAAAGGAAGCCCCATTCTATTGATGTCCTAGCACCAAATCAAATTATTTTTCTCAGCTGGGAAGAGAAACCAAAGATCGTGAACACAGATAAAATACATTCATGAAATGAAACATCTAATTGCACAAAATTTCTACATGGTACAAAAGTCTGTTCTTTACGAATAACCTTTCTGTGTCACTTAAATGGGTACCTTAAATTAATACTGGCACATTTGTTGCGGAGTGCGGACCTCATGAAAAACCAACACATAACTCATCAGTTTTTTTGTTTGAAAATAAGTCTATAAGTGGTGCAGTGAACTTGGATCGTTCCAGAACAACAACAGGTCTTTGATAATGGAGTTGTTTTAAAGCAAGATCTCCACAGTCTGTTAATGCTTTGTCCAATATTGTCCTTAAATTCTGTAGTGTGAGCACTGATGCTGCAGATTGAGCACTACTAGAAAGTAAAGGTCTGAACCCCTCAATGTTCTCATGTCTTAAACGTGTGCCTTGGGACAAGCAGGCTTCACTGCGTTTTCTATTTTTACAGGGCAGCATTTGATTTTGGAAAACATGTGGATGTTTGTACTGATCTGACTGATCCTCAAACTCATCATCTGTTTCCTTACTTTCCTGCAAAAACTTTAAAAAAGAGGACTCAAATCCCATAGGCTTAAAAGTCTTTAAATCAAATGCCGATTGTGCATCTTCCTTCGATGAACTGAGAGGAGAGGAATCCAATGGACTACTGACCTCACTTTTGTCCCTTCTACAAGCTGCCTGGAAATGTGTGAAAGACAGGTTTTCTTTTTCACTGCCTTTAGGAGACTGTGATTTTGCAAAGCAACTTTGTGATGTTTTGTTATAGTTACATGGAGAGTAATTTAAAGAGTCTTTGACTTCACGATTAACACCTTTTTTGGGGCTTCTCTCATAACCGTCGCTTTGATCCAAAGTGCTATGTACATCACCATGCATATATAGTTTGGGTACTTTGCTTTCTGGAATACAATCCCGCTTTCTTGGACTGTGTGCCTCTTCTGAAGAAATTTGTTCTTGAATACACCCAGGGAAGTTTTTAACACAATAAACCAACTCTGTTAAATGATTGGCAACATATGCAGGCGATAGATGATGTGTGAGTTTGTAATGGCGAATAATGCTACTTTCTAGTTTTACTACAGAGGCACATCCATGAACCATACATGGGAATTGCGTTATAGTAACATTCAAAGCACACATTTGTAATGCTTCCTCTTTTGTTTTGAATACTACAAACTCTTTTTTCATAGCCTTAGTTTTTACTCTTATCTTTTTTCTACGGTAAATCATACGGCGTTCAGGTTTTGATTCATTGAGCTTTTCCTGCACACGGCGCAGGGTAGGAGGCCGACCCCGCTTCCTCCTGCCCTCCATATGTTTATATTTTCTATGACGGGCCAAAACGTGTCGAGAATAATTTATATGATTTGTAAACACAGCACTGCAGCCTTCTACGTCACAACAAATTTCAGACTCATCGCTTTCCGTTTCCTCGCTTAACTTTTCTTCATCGTCTGTTTGGGGTTTCAAGTGGTTTTCTGTAAAGTACATTTCAAGCTCTTTATCTTCATTTTCACCGTGGTCATGAAACTCTCTATAATGCTTCGAAAGTGCTCTTGCACATATGAAACTCTTACCACACTCCTTATATTTACAGGTAAATATTCTTCTACATTTACCAAACTCTCTCTTTGATTTTTCTTTATCTTTTTCCAAACACAGTGATTCTTTGCTATACTGATGTACAAGCCTGTAATGTCGAACTAAGCCTCTTTGGGTTGTAAATGAAGAGTTGCAGCTTTTATGGATGCAGTGAAATGGTTTATGATATTTATTTAGTATGTAACACAACTTTCCTTGGGCTACAACACGTCTGCTTCCTCTCCCCTTTGTAGTTTCAAAGTCACCTCCATGACTTCCAGAGTAAAGACCATGGCTAGCATCGGTTTCATCAGACAATGAATCTGCATACATTTCAGAGTTAAAGTCTTCCTGAACAGGAGACCTCTGTATGGAACTTCCGCTGCTTGTTTCACTTGGCTGGAAAGTTTTCAGGCAGTTTGCGTATCTTGCTTTCATGATGCAGCTTTGCATTGAATTATCAAGTTTTTTACGTCCTGGTCTGCAATTTACCTTTTCTTTAACTATGTGATGCTTATTTCGATAATGAATACGAAGGTGGGTTCTCCTCGTGAATGATCTTTGGCAAATATGGCACTCAAATGGAGAGAATTTATGTTGAAACATTTGCAATTTAAGGGCCTTTTCCTTTGTGTAATGATGTTTTTTTACATAATGTAATAAGAGAGCATCCTTTGTAACAAAAGCATATTTACAACCTTTAAGTTCACAGAAATATGGTTTACATGCCAATCTTGCAAGATACTGACTTAGCACCTTTTCTTTTTGGGAAGGAGGGATTTTTGTTGTCTCACCGTTATTTGAAGAACTTGCTTTATCTTCTTGCACTTGTGATCCAGCGTATGCTATACATGTATTGGAATTTTTCAAGTTTAAATGTTTCAAACTTGTTAAAAGTTCACACAAAGTGTCTTCAGAGGCAGATGGCCCAGGGAAGGCACTCACAACAGGGAACTCTGTACACTCTTCTTTTACAGTAGTTACTTTTTCTGAACCTGTGTCACAAGAAGATATTTTTGTTTCATATTCAGGATTTGTTTTTATAGCCTCCTCATTAAAACTATAAATTTGTGAGCTTGTACAGTTTGTTAAAGTATTCGGACCTACTATTTCCTCACCAACAGTCTCACTACTCTGCTTAAATAGAGGTGGACGAAGTCCTTGAAAGTTGACCTGTCCTTTATTTTCATTTTCACAAGTGCATTCCAAACTTGTATCATGATGTAAACAGGTTTCTGGGTTGTGTACATGTTCACCGTGGCTGTAAGAAAGTGAGCTGAAATCCAACTGCTTGCAACAGGGATCTTGAGGCACCAACTGCATACTATCGGACATCAAATGCCTATCAGCAAATGTGGGACTATTAACGCAAACCTTCTCCATAGTAACAGAAGGCAATGGATCACGAAAACAAGGTAGCAGCTGGCTTTCACTTTTAATTTCTTGAAATACATCTGCTCCATTATTACGACCTTCTACTGACTGTAATCCATGGCTGGCATTATGGTTACGAAGTTCAGAAATGCAATAATAGAACTTTTTACAACCAGGAAAATTGCATCTATAAGAAGCATCCCGGAAATGCTGAGCTTCGTGATGGTAAAGTAGTCCTAGGTCACTAAAAACCAGATTACAGCCCTTCAGTTCACATTTATATTGCAACTCAAGGTGTTTTTGTTTGTGGAGAAGGAGCTCATTAATGCTTTTAAACTTTTCATTACAGTCTAATGACACACACATGAAAGGATCAGGATCGACATGAACTTTCAAATGCTGTTTCAAATGAAAGCTAGTTATAAAATGTCGTCGACAAAACATACATTTCTCTCTCATATTTTTCATGTCTAAATAGTGTTTTGCATTTTCATCATTGTTTTGGTGTTCAGCCTTCAGGTGTATACTTAAATATTTAAACTGTTTGAAAACCCTGGAACAACCACTACCAGGACATGGGTAAACATCTCTGTCTTGCAAATTTTTATCTTGTAATGATCTGAATGTCATGTAACCATCCTCATCATCTGACTCCTCCTTAACAACGTCTACTCCATGTCGAATATTAAGATGTTCATTTTTCTTTTTTGGTCGATGCCTCATCGGCATTTTCATGTGCTCCATTACATGAGGGACAAAAATTTCTTTTTTCCTGAACTTTTTGATACAAACAGGACAAGTGTACACACCATCCTTTAGGTGCATTTTAGCATGATGTAGAATTCTTGCCTCAATTACTTCTCTTTTGCAAATAATACAGTAAAATTTATACTGAAGCCATCGTTTATATCGTTCAGATGATCCAACTGGTTTTCTCACTTTAACATTCTCAATTTCATTGTTAACTTCTAAAGATTCTTGGGTTTGCTCAGCACTCTCTTCATAATTGGCCAAAGTGGAACTTAAAATATCTGGCTCATTAGCAGAAGATTCCCCATAATTTTCTTCTTCCTCTGTGTCGGAAACCTCTTTCCCTAGAATTTTAAGGCAATGTCTTTTTAAGGTTTTCCAGTCCCAGAATTCAGGATCAAACACCCAATGACTTTTTAATGCCAGCAGAAGTTCACAACGAAGAGAATTTGAAATAATACTGGATTCTTCTTCATTCTTTTGATCTGGCTGCTGAAAAAGCTCTTCCAGTATATTAAGACCTTCAAGGGTTGGCTCAAATAAAAATTCAGTGAGCTGGCAGGCTCTTCTGACCTCCAGGTCTTGTGGTAAAAGACAAGCAATAGTTTTGCACACAGAAATCTTTGTGGCATCCGTTTCAACTGACTGAATCTGAAGTGCTCGTATGCATAACATGATAGAAACAGGAACACCAGCATCACCAGCCTGAAAAAATCCAAACATATAAATTACTGGGTTAGAAGAGTCTTAACAAAATTCTAACTTATGAGGAACCAAAAAGACTATACTGATCTTTGGGTAATTTACAATTTTCATCAAAAGTCTAAAAGTGACTATAAATACCTGAAACACTTTGTATATTAATTAACTTAATGCACCAGCAGTTTAACACTTATAGTCAAAACTACCGTATTATTTTACTAAAAGAAGATATTGCAGTGTTGAAGGTGGCCATTTGGAATTACATCACCATTGCTCAAGTCTTACTGACATTAATGATGGGGGGAAAATAGTGATGACAACCATAACATTGTAGATCAACTATACAATAATTGACTATTCACAGGATTTCACTATACTGTATATGAAGAAGTTGTCTGAACAGCCTGCTGAATGCTTTTCATGACTTCAAACCAAGGTTTGTAAGATTTTTCAATTAAAGTTATGGGGCAAATTTGTAGACTTACCATATAGGCAATACTATATTATGATGGTTTAAAAATACATAAATACATTTCTGATGACTGAGTCACTTTGAGTCCCCCGTCTCCCCCAACATACTGAACAGTTTTCTCAACAAAATTGATTTAAATAGAAGAAAAAAAACAAACAAACAAAAAAAACACACACACACTTTCTGTAGTAAATTTAGGCACTGAAGTAGAGATGGCTAAACAAAACTTTTTTGCAATGTTTTTAAATCTTGAGTGGTAGTTTTGAGCCTGTGAAAACTATATTTTGTTTATTTATATTTTACCAGGAAGGATACATTGAGATTTCTCTCGTTTTCAAGTATGTCCTGGGTCCACAAAACATTGCATTGATACAATAGGGTACAATAAAATACAAAAACAATGTTGATACATTAAATTAACCCCTTAAGATCGGTGGGCATTCTATCCCGTCCTTGGGGACCCGGCTCTAAACGCCGGCGGGCGGCATAGAACACCTAAGCCGTCCTATGTACTTGCCCGGTCGCCGGCGATGGCACGCCAGCGAACGCAGGGTAGGGACTCACCTGGCAGCCCAGAGAGTCCCCCCCCGCCTTCCTTTCTGGACCCCCTGGGCCATGTGATCGCGAGGACCTCGCGATCACATGGGCGGCATAGCCGCCCATAGCAATGCCAGCAGGGGAAGTGCCTGTAATAGTAAAATAAATGTTAAAGTTGTATATATATAATTTTTTTAAATTATTTTTATTTATAGTGAGACATTAATTTTAAAATACAGTTAACAAATTTACACATATATTTATTTTATTTTTTTAACGTATTTACATACCTTTTTATATTATATATAAATATAAATAATGATAATTTAATCTATATCATTCTACGTGTATTTTCATATTAAAATATACTTTGACAGTGTGTGTGTGTGTGTGTATAATATATATATGTATATATTTTATTTTAAAATATTGCGGCAGAGGTACCCTCCCTCCCTCCGCCAGTCACTCACCCTCCCTCCCTCCGCCAGTCACTCACCCTCCCTCCCTCAGTCAGCCAGTCACTCACCCTCCCTCAGTCAGCCAGCCAGTCCCTCACCCTCCCTCAGCCACTCACCCTCCCTCAGTCAGTCAGCCAGCCAGCCACTCACCCTCACTCAGTCAGTCAGCCAGCCACTCAGTCAGCCAGCCAGCCACTCAGTCAGCCAGCCAGCCACTCAGTCAGCCAGCCAGCCACTCAGTCAGTCAGCCACTCAGCCAGCCAGCCACTCAGTCAGTCAGCCAGCCAGCCACTCAGTCAGTCAGCCACTCAGTCAGTCAGCCACTCAGTCAGTCAGCCAGCCAGCCACTCAGTCAGTCAGTCCAGCCAGCCACTCAGTCAGTCAGCCAGCCAGCCACTCAGTCAGTCAGCCAGCCAGCCACTCAGTCAGCCAGCCAGCCAGCCACTCAGTCAGCCAGCCAGCCACTCAGTCAGCCAGCCAGCCACTCAGTCAGCCAGCCAGCCAGCCAGCCAGCTCAGTCAGTCAGCCAGCCAGCCACTCAGTCCAGCCACTCAGTCAGTCAGCCACTCAGTCAGTCAGCCAGCCACTCAGTCCAGTCAGCCAGCCAGCCACTCAGTCAGTCAGCCAGCCAGCCACTCAGTCAGTCAGCCAGCCACTCAGTCAGTCAGCCAGCCAGCCACTCAGTCAGCCAGCCAGCCACTCAGTCAGTCAGCCAGCCAGCCACTCAGTCAGTCAGCCAGCCAGCCACTCAGTCAGTCAGCCAGCCAGCCACTCAGTCAGTCAGCCAGCCAGCCAGTCACCCTCCCTCAGTCAGTCAGTCAGCCAGCAGGTCACCCTCCCTCAGTCAGTCAGCCAGCCAGCAGGTCACCCTCCCTCAGTCAGTCAGCCAGCCAGTCACCCTCCCTCAGTCAGTCAGTCAGCCAGCCAGTCACCCTCCCTCAGTCAGTCAGTCAGCCAGCCAGTCACCCTCCCTCAGTCAGTCAGTCAGCCAGCCAGCCACTCAGTCAGTCAGTCAGTCAGTCAGCCAGCCACTCAGTCAGTCAGTCAGTCAGCCAGCCACTCAGTCAGCCAGCCACTCAGTCAGCCAGCCACTCAGTCAGCCAGCCACTCAGTCAGCCAGCCACTCAGTCAGCCAGCCACTCAGTCAGCCAGCCACTCAGTCAGCCAGCCACTCAGTCAGCCAGCCACTCAGTCAGCCAGCCACTCAGTCAGCCAGCCACACTCAGCCAGCCACCACAAAATAAGTTTACTTACAGTTTGAATCCTCCCTTCCTGCTTGGTCTCCGGTCTTCAGCCTGTAAGATGGAGCCGACGCTGTGAGCAGGAGTTCTTATCTCCCACACTGTCGGCTCTTCATTACGGACAGGCTCTGGGATTACTACAGGACATAGGAGGCACTGTGAACTCGCCTCATATCTCCTATCTGCTGATAGCACGTTTGAAGTCTTCACCCAAGCGTGAAGATGAATGCGAATTATGCATTCATCAACTCGGAAGTCCCTCTGGTGGCAGTCTGAGTGACTGCAACTATAGGTGTTCCTAGCTTCCAATGTAAACACTATTTTCTCAGAAAATACTGTGTTTACATGAGAAAGGCTGCAGGGAGCTATAGTTCTCACCTGAACAACCTAATTAAGCTGAAGTTGTTCAGGTGACTATAGTGTCCCTTTAACATCCAAACTTATCTTGTAAACAGTAGATATCATAATTCACTTACTTCTGTATGTACAACTTTAATAAGGAAGAAAAGATGCTGAAGTGTTTTGGCAATCAAGCCGAACTGCCTACATCTTTCCAGAAAGGTATTCATAGATGTATCAATTCTCCTCTGTAACTTGCTCCAGAACAGAGTCAGTTCCCTTGAATAAATCAAAGACAAAAGTATTAGAAAACACCAATTACAACAAATACCCGGTAGCAGATTAAACATTCTAATACATACTAAAAACACACCAGTAAAAGATATCCAACATTAATAATCAATTAAGTGCTTACTTCATGAGAGAAACTGCAATTTTAAAGGAACACTATAGTAACCACACAACTATAGCTCAATTAAGCAATTTTTATATATAGATCATGCCCCTGCAGTCTCACTGTTCAATACTCTGCCATTTAGGAGTTAAATAATTTTTGTTTCTGTTGATGCAGCCCTAGATACACGTCCCCTGGCTGTGACTGACACAGCTGGCATGCAAAAAGAATGGTTTTACTTTCAGATGTAACTTGCTTTAGCAGTTTTAATCTCATGATCTCTAAATTGAACTACATACAGGAGTCTCCAGCAAGATCTAGCAAGCTATTAACAGAGCAGGAGATAAGAAATTCTAAATTAATGAGAATTAGCAATAAAAGAAGTATAAACATTAGAGGACATGTTTAGGAAGGCAGTGCAAGTCACAAGCAGTAAGGTGTGACTAGGGTTGTACAAACAAAATGAACACCTAAATGGCGTAGAATTTAGCAGTGAGAACGCAAGGACATGATCTATACACCAAATCTGCCTCATTAGGCAAAAGTAGTTTCGCTGACTGTAGTGTGCTTTTAAATTGAATGTAATATTGATCTTGGTCTTTAAAACCATTTTACTACTTTTAATCCCAAGGAACATGATATATATTTGAGAGTACCACTGTGCCCAGCATGCATTAAAAGGGCACTGTGTGCACAGCTTCATCTCAGTGAAGTGGTCACAGGGTCTGCAGTTTCCTTGACCCTGTGATCATATTCAGTGTTACAGTTTTTAATGTTTGAGGGTTTTTTCTTCTATTTAGCATAGTTTTACAAATAAACATAAGTTTCCCAAACAGAAGAGGATGCTTGGTGTAAAAATAAGATACACTGATTAGCCACAACATTAAAACCACTGACAGGTAAAGTGAATAGCATTGCTTATATAGTTACAATGGCACCTGTCAGGGTGTGTGATTTATTAGGCAACAAGTGAACAGTCAGTTCTTGAGTTTCATGTGCTGGAATAAGGAAAAATGGGCAAGCGAAAAGATCTGAGTGGCACTGACAAGGGCCAAATACTGAGGACTAAACAACTGGGCTAGAGCATCTCAAAAATGGCAATCCTCGTCTTGTGCTCCCAGTATGCAGTGATTAGCACCTACCAAAAGTAGGGTAAGAAAGGACAAGCGGTGAACCAGCGTCAAGGTCATGGGAGCGAAAGGCTTGTTAATGCACATGGGGAGCAAAGGCAAGCAGCCTGGTCCGATCACAAAAAAGATCTATTGTAGCTCAAATTGCTGAAAAACGTAATGCAGGCCATGATAGAAATGTGTCAGAACAAACCGTGCACCACAGTTTGCTGCATATGGGGCTGCATAGCCGCAGAACTGCCATAATGCCCATGATGACTTCTATCCACCGCCGAAAGCTCCTTCAATGAAGACAAGAGCGTCAAAACTGAACCATGGAACAATGAACTAAGTTGCCTGGTCTGATGAATCTTTTCTTTTAGATTAGATCAGTGGATGGCGAGGTGCATGTGCATCATTTGGCAACATGATGCACTACACTATGGGAAGAAGGCACGCTGGTGGAGGCAGTGTTATGCTGGGAAAACTTGGGTCCTGGCATTCATGTGGATGTACTTTAACACGCACTACCTACCTAGAGATTGTTGCAGACCATGTACACCCCTTCATGGCAATGGTGTTTCCAGATGGCAGTGCAAATTTGCACACACTGCAAAAATGGTTTAGGAATGGTTTTAGGAACATGACAGAGTTCAAGGTGTTGCCTAGGCCTCCAAATCCCCCAAATCTCAATCTGATTGAGCATCTGTGGTATGTGGTGAAACAAATCCAATCCATGGACGCCCCACCACACAACTTGCAGGACTTTAAAGTATTGCTGCTAATGTCTTGATGTCAGATACCACAGGACATGTTCAGAGGTATTGTGGAGTCCATGCCTCGATGCATCACAGCTGTTTTGGCAGCATGAGAAGAACCTACATGATATTAGGCAGGTGATTTTAACGTTGTGGTTGATCAGTGTAGTACAATGAATTGAACAAAACCACAAACACACTAGTCGTGTGGGGAGTGCAAAAACCTTTATTGCTAGACTGATTAAATCCTCATCTCCACAAAGGCTAAACATTTTAATGTTTTAATATTGAAAGAGTTTGTAGCAGGCCACCCCTCTTTGTTTCTTGGGCTAATTAGGAAGCAATAGTCTGAGCAGCAATAGCTGTGCTTGGCCGACTTTGTCAGCCGACAGATTTCAGCCTATCACTGCTCATTGCTGCTACAAATTATTTGGTTGGAAGAGTGTAAACGGTCTTTGCAAAAACTGTCTCTAGTAGCATCTGGTCATGGACCCTTAATGTTAACTAGCTCACAAATGGTTTAACACTCAACTCAGAGTCAACACCAGGAGGCTCTGAAAATGATAATGAATTCAATGAGATTAAATGGTTATAGTGCTTACAGTGTCTCCATTAAAGGACCACTATAGGCACCCTTGTCACCATTAATTAAATCCCCCCAAATGCATTGATGCATTCAGAGAAACTATGTTTACATATAGGTTAATCCAGCCTCTAGTGGCTGTCTCATTGACAGCCGCTAGAGGCGCTTCTCACTATGATTTTCACAGTGAGAAGACGCCAGCGTCCATAGGAAAGCATTCTGGACTGGCTGAATACACGCGTGTATGCGCATTTAGCCAATGACGATCGAAGGAGGAGGAGAGTCCCAAGTGCCGAGGGAGCCTGGCGCTGGAGAAAGGCGAGTGTTTAACCCCCTTCCTCCCGGCGGGAGTGGGCATTTCACTTCTCTCTCTACTTGGTTTTCAAGAATGGAAAAAACTTTTAGCATGCAATGGCATAAGTCAGTGGCTTTATGCTGGCCCTGGGAATGCCTGGTGTCACCTAAGACCCCAAGAATTATTGAAACTTAAAGAGGTAGGGGAGCACCAAGAGAAAGAGTGAAGCAAAGAGGACAGCAAAAAACTAAATAGGTGAAGCTAAGAATTAGAGCAGGTTCTGCTCTAAAAACCAAGTAGGATTATTTTAATTTATTTCATTCCCATTTACACATACGTAAATCACTATACATCTCTTTTGTGTTTGATATGCCATTTCCAACTTGGAGAGATCTGCTGTTTACATATATCCCGGAGCGGAGATTATACTGCTCAACACTATACTACTAGAGCACAGTATGTAGCACTGGTGTTCAGCATTTCCACGCTCTGCTTCTAGGTGCTGAATGTTCCCCATAGAGATGTACTGATTCAATGCATCTCTAACTATATGCAGATTGGCGCAATGCGACATTTTGCTGCGCATGTGCAACAGACGCCCATAGGAAAGCATTATATTGGCTGAGATCATAAAGACTGATTTTCTCAGCAAAAGAGGCAGTACTAGCCGCAGAAAGATCGGAGTGGTGGTGGAAAAAAGGCAAGTTAAAAAAACAAAAACCTTTTAACGTCACAGAGAGGAGTGCCAGGGAAATAAACATGTATTCCGGCATTGAGCCTATCACAGCACCAGCCGCTGCTATGAATTGGTGCAGCTAGAAGGAATTGTGTAATCTTTACATTAGCAATAACTCCATTAGGGGCTGGAGCTGTAGGTGACCAGGAACCAGTTGTGTTAAATAATTCTTGACCAGTTTTAACACTTAAGTTGAGAAGATTTTAGGCAGTATAATCTACACTCCATTAGGTTTCAAACTAATCACAATTTTGCCCTAGGCAGGAACTACATTCTCTCAGAGATTTATTCACTAAACTCTGAATTGCAGTGAAGAGACATTTAGGTTAGAAGACAAACTGGTGAGAAATTTAGAGAAAGGAAACTGCCTGGGAAGACATTTAGGGAAAGGATAGAAAAACGATTTAGATATTTAAGAAACAGACTAGGAGACATTTTAGGAGAGAGACAAAGTGAGAAGACATTTAGAGAAAAACACACACACTGCCCAATATAAACACACTCATCCGGTATATGCATCCATATAGCTTTAGTGACCAATATTGAAGGGTCCGCAACACAGGTTGCCTAATACATCCATACTGCCTATTATATACAATCAACCATACACACAGCACAATACATAAATCCACACACCCTCTAATACATACATACACCCATAAGTACGTACTGCCTAATACATATATTCATACACATTGTCTAATCTATATATATCCATACTCTCATACTGCTGATAACATACATACATACATACATACATCAATGCATTTGGGGGGGATTTAATTAATAATGGTAACAAGTGTTCAAAACATTTTTTTTCAGTTTAAAATAGAGGTGTATTATAAGGATCTCTAAGTGACCACACTAGCAAATACTCTCACTTACACACTCTCACCGACAGTGTCACTTACACACACTCTGAGATACAGTGTCACACTCTCACCAACACACACACTATCGCTGACATACAGTGTTACATACTTACTTCCACTTAAATTATAAAAACACACACCCCGCCCAATTTACAACCATGCAAAAAATAGCCAGTCCCCCTTAACCTGCACATATGCCAGACGTGATGACTGGAGGAGAAGGGGGTCGAGGCTGCAGTAAGTTGTCCTTTGTTTCTAGTGGGTGAGCAAGAGAGCTGAATATTGCTCCCTTCAAAGTGTTTCCGGTGTTCACAGGCAGGTAGGCAGAAGGAATACCATGAAGCAGTGTGTTTTACTCGGGTTCTGGGGTTGCAGAAACCCCTCTTCCTTAGCAGATAATCGGCAGAGAGGTGCACAGCAGTAGAATGGGAAACCTCTCTGTGGGCGCCCCCAACAGGTTGGCACCCCCAGGCGAATGCCATATTTTACTATAACCATTTCACAGCACCGGCCCTGTGTGTGCTGTATCATGTGCCCAACAAAGAGTTTTTCCCATTGCATGAACGAAACTGTTCGTCCAAACACTTTTTTGGGCACGCACAAGTCTACTATAACCAATTCAATTAGTTGAATTAGTTATTGTGCCTACAATGTCCCTCTACATTGTTAAACATGTTTACTTGTTTGCTATTTCCTCGACAGATATCCCACTTAAGGGTTCAGTTATATATCTTTTACTGTACTTCATTCACACTGTGTGTGTCCAAACTACAACACTCTTGCTGTCTAGGTCTCTCTTTACATTCTTTACTTGAGAATTTTTAAAAACAAATTGATAGTCTCTGCTTATATGGCATTAAACATACAATAAGGTTATTTTGCAATGTGCTTTAAAAGCGTTCTGTATTTACACAATTTTTTACCTGGAACACCCCAAGTCAATTTCCATTTTGTCCAAGGGGACGAAAGACCCATTTATAATAAAAATAGCTAATTATGTGTGTTATACAACTGCAGATGTTACAATGCATAAAATATCTGCCAATCTACACATGCAGTGACTGCAACATGCAATATAAACTATCTTTATGCCAGCTGTTACATCAAATTAAAAATATAGCAGTAGTTAACTACCACTTACCAAGAGCAAGATGTTATTTCATTTTGTAGCTGCTGAGTAAGATATGTGGTACACAAAATAAATGCTGTGTTGTCTTGTCCTTCTGATTCCAGATTACATATGGTATCTAAAACCTCCTTCCCCTCCATCGTTGAAATCTAAGAAAATTCAAGGTAAACAAAGACATGTATAAAACTATTTTAAACCAACATTTGGTTAAAGACTGTAGAATTTACACTGAAGTAGGGTAGTTTTATCAGATAATGGAAGATAAATGCTGCATAATGCAGTGCTTCTAAAAGCAGTTGTCAAGGACCACACACAAAGCAAGTCCATATGCAGACTTTGCAAAGACCCACTTAGGGTGACTAACGCTGCTGGTGGGGAACTGGAAGATAGACGGCAGATGCAACAGTACTGCTTTAAAGTGCTATAACAGTCCTACATATTAATGGCTGTTCAAGAGAAACATTCATTATATACTCAAGTGCTCATGAAAAGGCAAGAGAATGAAGCAAGAGGCAGAGAGAGGTTTTAAAGGAGCACTATAGTGTCAGGAACACAAACTTATTCCTGACCCTATATGGTTAAAACCACCATCTAGCCACCCTGGTCCCCTCATGCCTCCCTAAAAATATTAAAATCTTACTTGTATTCAAGTCTGGAGCTGCAGGTGGTAGCCTGACTACTGGAGGGATCTCTAGCAGCCATCTGAGGAGTGGCCAGTGAAGTTATCACTAGGCTGTAATGTAAACACTGCATTTTCTCTGAAAAGACTGTTTACAGCAAAAAGCCTGAAGGTAATGATTCTACTCACCAGAACAAATGTAATAAGCTGTAGTTGTTCTGGTGACTACAGTGTCCCCTTAAACTGTTACAAAAAATAATTTGGTTATAGGCGTTAAATCCCTTTTCTATCTGTTTATGTAGCCCTAGCCACACGTCCCCTAGCCTGCATGAAAACAAAATTGTTTCATATAAAGTCAGATGTAACTTTAAAAGATTATCTCCTGCTCTGTAAATGGAACTTTAAAGGGACACTATAATCACCAAATCAACTTTAGCTTAATGAAGCGGTTTTAGTGTATGGATCATGCCCATTGGGTCCCACTGCTCAATTCTCTGCCATTTAGGAGGTACTTAATTTGTTTATGCAGCCCTAGTCACACTGCATGTGACTTGCACAGCTTTCCTAAGCACTTCCTGTAAAGAGTCATCTAATGTTTACACCTCCTCTATAAAAAATTCTATTTAACTTAGAATCTTATTTCCTACTCTGTTAACTTGCTAGACCCTTCAGGATTCTCCTTTATATAATTAAAATTCAGGTACATTGTAAATCTTGTTCTATATTTGATTCAAGCTTGAAACGTGGGGGTTGAAACGTTGCGGTGTCTCACTTATCCAAATAAATAAAATTGAAGATATTGAGTGTCTGGATCCTCTTTCTACCACTGATATCTACTCCCTGGGGCTGGTGCTGGCCCTTGGTCCAGTTTTGCACCTGAATCTTCACGTGACGGAAGTGCGGTTTGTTTTTTTCTAAATTTGATTTAAGTGAAAAATCCACAGAGAAGTATATTGAATAGAGTAAATACTCTTGAAACCAATTGTCTCAACTTGGATTTAGATTTAGTATGAATCCATATCAATATTACTGTAGTTATAGTAATTGAGGTTTAAAGCTATTGTTTAAAACGCACACTTTCCATTACTTAATGTGGGCTCATAAAGGCTGAATAGTAATACCCAGATTAATGGGCAAGTTCGATTTAAGCAAAGCACTTTAAATAAAAATACCGCACTTTAAATAGAGTATAAAATAATTTTAGGTAGACAATTCGCATATAATAAATATGAATCCCTTAAGGACACAGCTTCAAAAGCTTGTCTTGCACTTTAAGGGACACTGTAGGCACCCAGACCACTTCAGCTAACTGAAGTGGTCTGAGTGCTGTAACCCTTTTGCACTTAGTGCTGCAATGTATTGCAGTTCCAGAGAAACTGTAATGTTTACATTGTAGCTCTAAGTTTGCCCTCGGTGGCTGTCTAACAGACAGCCACTAGAGGGCCTCCGGAATCCAAACTGACTTTTGGTCCTTTATCTGACCCTGGACGTCCAGCGCCAGATTTTCCCCATAGGAAAGCATTAAATAATGCTTTCCTATGGGGAGAGCAAACGCGCACACGGCCATCGCCACTGGATTCAGGTAAGTGGCTGAAGGGGTTTTAAACACACACACTTTAAAAATAAAAAATGTACAGTTTTGGCAATAAAGTGTATAATTAGTGCAGTTTAAGAAATGCAATTAAAAATAAATGAATCTATCCTGATTTACAGAGTATATGTCGAGCATATCTGTTTATTTTTGATAGTTACAGGTCACAAATAACACGGAGTCACATAAAATTTCAATGTGGAGACATTTTAGAATGTGATGTGTTATCCTTGTAATCTTAATAGCCATGGGGGGAGGAGAAAGAGGACAGTATTTCAGATTAGTAGGTTTTTTTTTTGCACGCACACATAATTGTATATTTTGTAAACCTGATGTGTACTACGTGTGTATACCCCCTCTCTTCCACCCCCAAAAAAACCCCATATTGTGTTCAGATACATCTTTTGAGCACGATACCCCAAATGTATGCCTTTATCGCTATCCTGTGATGCTACAGTGCCATATAAGAGAACTGACTAAGTTTTTACAGTTAAAATTTTGATAGGTCATCTGATGGATCTAGGTCTCATTTTATGGCATTGAAGTAGCATGACGGTTAAAATCACTTCCTAAATGCATACCATATGTGAAAGCAGACACCACAGGGTATGTCATGATATATTTTAAACCTTATCATACAGAAATTTCTTTCAAACTTGATTCAATTTTATTTCTGTACACGCACATTGCAATTTAGCAGTTTATTTTGTAAACTGGATACGTGCTACTGTAATAAAAGTCACTAAATTGTGCTCAGCTATATGACCCCCCTTTGCAAACCCTTGTAAAGTGTTTGACAAAATACAGTGCTGAAATTATATCCTGTCCAGTAGTTTTTCACAAAAATGGCAGATGGAAGATGGGTCTTTGGTGCATTTTAATAGATCAAAAATGATACCATATATGTATTTGATGCCTCCCCCCCTCCCAAAACTTTGTGGCATTTATTTTTCAATTCTTACATATTGTAATTTTGCTACTTATTTTCTAAATGATTCCCTAAATCGGGGTGGGCAATCTGCGGCCCTCCAGATGCTTTGGACTACATCTCCCTTGATGCTTTGCTAGCATTATGGCCCTAAGAGCATTATGGGAGATGTAGTCCAAAGCATCTGGAGGGCCATAGATCACCCACCCCTGCCCTAAATGATTCCCTGTGTAATACAATTATTCTAACTGTTCTCAGCATCTCCCAAGTACAATACCCCATACGTATATATTTGCACAGTAACATTTCTAATCCCAATCTCAATCCATAATCCTAAACCAGGTCCTAATTCTAAACTAAATCCTAATCCCAAATCTAATAAAAAAAACCATACCCCTGGGGCGGAGCCTGAACGCCGAAGAGAACGGTCGCAAGAGAGACTAGCTCCGTGCCCTAAACTAAGTCAAAACTACATAAAATAACCCCCCCTTACACCCGGACCAACGGAATCCACCCTGAGCACGTATGGGCCGAAGGGGGAAAAAAAAATGAGCCCACACAAGCCCACATCGGGACTTACGATAGGAGAAATGTGGAGTTAGGCCTGGGGCACCAGCGAGTCAAACATGGCTGCGCTGGATGGCGGATGCTCGGACTTCTCCGAGGAACTATCCGACGACATGGAGGAAGACTACACACCGACTCCCAACCCCAAGCAAAAGGTACAACAACGGGGAGCCGGGACAGACTCAAAGCCAGTTACCACAGCATTCCTCAAAACACTGCTAGCGGACCTGCAGAAACACATCCACGAGGATGTCACAGCGCTCCGCACTGACATACAAGGCCTGACAGGCCGCATCTTCACTCTGGAGGGAGCCTCACAGGTCCAGGCCCAGGACATAATCGCACTGCAACCCTCCATACAGGAGCTGCAACAGCAGAACCAGCAACTTGAACGTCGCATGGCAGCGCAGGAAGACTCCAGGCGGCAAAATAATATCAAGATCAGGGGAGTCCCTGAAGAAATATCGGAGGCTGATCTGCCAAAAGTCATGGGGCGCTTACTGCCAGTGATTTTGACAAACAGTCAAACCATAATGCCTGCCCCAGAGGAGGTCTTTAGGGTCCCTGTCATGCCAAAAGCATGAGTTGGTGTTTGATGTGTGTTTATATATGTTAAGAGTTATTTTTTTGTAAACCTTGGGATGACATTTATTGTGGTCTTTGATCTGGCACCAGGCCTAGACCATAAAACATCTAGATAGCCATCACCAGAGCTGGACACAAGGAATTTCATAGAGTGGGCAATAGACTGCCAGACCAGCCCCCTCTGATCCCCCCCCCAGGGGTCTGCCCACTGAGAAACAACTAGTTTAGATATATGAGGGTGTTGGACTATCCAGGGAGTCAGTTATTCATTTTTCTTTTTGTCAGTAACTTCTAGGAGACCTATACCATCTAAGACTCCCACAAGAATTCTATATGGGGTAAATATATGTAAGGAATTTCTTGTGTTTTCTCCTATTTTATTTTATGTACTGTTTTGCAATTTGTTTTCTGTATGTCATTTATTTCTGTATTTTGTACTCAGCACTGTGAATCCTTTTGGTCAGATTAAATGTTTACTTAATCAGCTTGTGTCTCTGTTCTCTATGAGCTTCACTCTCCAGAGGAAAGCTCAGGTAAACACGTTACCAAAAGGGGTTAACTATATATGTTTTATCAGTAAAAGTAGAACTGTGATACTATAATTCTCCTGTGTGTGGGGTAACCTAAGACGCCCGGGTTTAAAAGTCTTGGTGGTGGCAGTAGTACTAAGGGGGATAGTGTAGAAGGGATTGCAGGGGTTAATTGAGTGGTTGCTGGGACTAGCAACAGGTAACCAGGGGTCTGGTGTCATTAACCCTGTCACTTCCACACTCTCCCCACTGTCTCGGCTGGGCCTATAGCCCACGCACGTGACAAACTGGTGGCAGCGGTGGGATATATTTAGAGATTTTTAGTGCTTGCTAGATTTTACCTGCAAAGGGGGTCTTGGCACTAAAAGAAATTGCATACTTGTTTTTGTGTAATTTCCAAAGACCAAGCTCAGCGCTGATTTAAAATACATACAAAGTGCAAAACAGTTCTCCCCTTCCATCTTTTGTTTTTCTTTCTCTATCCTATTTGTGAATATGGAGGCCTATCGCAAACAATCAAAAGAGGCCTTGGAATTGTTGTGCCAAGAAAAGAATTTACCAACTTTTGGCAAAAATAAGGCACAACTTATTGCTGACCTTGTGGAGGCTGACAGCCATATTTTCCAGCCAGAGACGGACACTGAAAGGGTTACCGAGCTCCCTACTACTGCAGGAGTGTTGCTTACTGAAATGCCTGGTGGTTGTACCCCTCAAAACATTAAGGACATTTGCTCAACTGATTTATTTCGGCAACTGATGGCTGCAAATCCTCAGGAGGCCCTGCATGTGATGATCCAACAGCAGGCTGCAGAAAGGGAATCTGCAGAGAGGCTAGCCGAAAGGGAGGCACAAAGGAGACATGAGCTGGAACTTGCTAAACTGCAATTTACCCTTCAGTCCTCACTGAACAGCAATGCATCAGAGTCCAGCACACGTAGGCTCCGTAAGGATGATTTTCCTTCCCTCGAAGAAGGGACAGATTTGGATGTATTTTTAAAAAGTTTTGAGAAAGTATGCAGGCAGCATCAACTACCCTCAGACCAGTGGGGCAGATATTTAACTCCACAACTGAAAGGGAAAGCCTTGGATGTGTTTGTGTCCCTTCCCCCAGAGACTGATAACAACTATGAGGCAATCAAATCTGCATTGCAAAAAACTTTTAACCTTACTCCTGAGTCTTACAGGAAAAAGTTTAGGAGTATGCAGCAATGCCCATCATCCAGCTGCATTCTATATGTTGCACAATTAGAAACCACGTTCCGGCAATGGGTAACAGGAGTACAAGCTACTACCTATGAAGCCCTTAATGACTTACTGGTCCTAGAGCAGTTCTTGCAGACCCGGAGCCCTAATGTAAGAGAGTGGATTTTGGAAAGAAAGCCAAAAAATGCTAGGGCTGCTGCAGAACTGGCAGATGACTATGCAAAAATCCATGCACCCACATCCAGGCGTGGACTTGTGTCAGCTGCTACTTCGACCTGGAGAGAAGCTACAGTTCAATCACCACTTGTAAGATCTGCAGTGAGAACTTCACCGCCGACTGCCAGCGTAGCCGGGGCTATGTCAAGTGAGTCAGATGCCCGCCGTTGTTTTCGATGCAACCAGATTGGTCATCTGAGCAGGACTTGCCCCACTAGGAATATGCCCTCACCAGTCCGTGGAGGGGCACCATCAGTTTTGCTTGTGGGTGGGTCCGTGGGGAAACAAGAGGATAACCTGCAGAGTGTAATTGTGGGTGACCGAGTGACCATGGGACTGAGAGATTCTGGAGCTTCCTTCACCCTGGTGCGACCTGAAGTGGTGAATACGGAGGACATAATCCCTGGAAGAACCATGTCCATCAAAGGAATTGGGGGTGTACGCCCCGCTGTGCCCTTGGCACGTGTGTACCTTGATTGGGGTGCGGGCAAAGGTTTGCGGGAAGTGGGGATTTCAGAGGATATCCCTGTTAATGTTCTGTTGGGGAATGATTTGGGCAGGATGCTCTGTCACTATGCTCCAGCGGACACGGTTTGTGAGCCAGAAGGGCTGACTGCTCCACCTAAGGTATTGTGTGAAACTTTGGGAGACATTGTGAAGTGTGATTGCTGGGAGGGAGAGCAGGGTGTGGATAAAGATCTACCTGTAACTGAACCAGTGATGTCTACCAAATGTAAGATAGGGGTGAGTAGTGATGTGCCTGTATTAAAATACTGTGAGGCTGGGATGTCAGAGAGTAAGGGAGAGGAGGAAGGTGAGAGCCAGGGTAACAAGTCAGCAGTGGTAACAAGTCAGCAGTGGGTCACGGCTGCAGAGTCTGAGGGGCTATGTGAGATTGCGAGAGGATGGCCTGCCTTGGAGAAGAAATTATGTGAGTGTGTGCAAAATTCTGTATCTGATCAAGGGGGGTCAAATGTGTCCTGTGAAAATGTATGGGAAAATCCTTCCAGCGAGAGGGGCCTGAAGGAATATATGTGCCAATATGTGCCTGAAGCAGATGTATGTGATGCACTGGGTGAAAATGTGAAGGGACAGCGAGGCTATGAGGGAGGGCAGAGGGTGTGTGAGCTTTACTCTGCGCCAGACTTAGCCAGTTTCCAAAGTTCTGTATGTCTGATGACCCGGAGTGAAAGTGAGGGGCACAGACAGACTCAGCTTGTGGGTCCAGGAAGGATGGCTGCAGGGAAACATACTGTTGGAGGAACCAGGAACCTTGTCAGTTTATCACAACTCACGCATACACCTAAGCAACTTTCTGATTGTGAACCAAAGGTTCAGAGTCTGATAGTGCAACAAGCCCAGCAGACAGACCGCAAAATGAAAGAGATGATGGATGTTGATACAGCACATCTATCCTGGGAGTGTTCTCTTTCTGCTTTTTTGTGGGCTTACCGGGGAGTGCTGCAGAAATCCATTGGTTTCTTCCCCTTACAACTACTACATGAGCGCCGTGGGTGTGGTTTAAGGGATGTTACCAGAGATCGATGGGGAATTGAAACAGGCAAATCAGGCATGTTTGTTGAGGGTGTAGCTGTGGTTTGGACTGATCACAACCTGCTGCAGGTGACAGGTAACACTGATAAACTGCTCCATTGGAGCCCTATCCTCCAACAACGGTATAATTTCACTGCCCAGCACAAAAAGGGCAGATGGCCTGTCTCGGCAACTAGAGGGTTAATGGTAGACAGATAAATCAGCCTGTGGCTACATTTTTCTGTCCACCATCTTAAGGGGGAGGTGTCATGCCAAAAGCATGAGTTGGTGTTTGATGTGTGTTTATATATGTTAAGAGTTATTTTTTTGTAAACCTTGGGATGACATTTATTGTGGTCTTTGATCTGGCACCAGGCCTAGACCATAAAACATCTAGATAGCCATCACCAGAGCTGGACACAAGGAATTTCATAGAGTGGGCAATAGACTGCCAGACCAGCCCCCTCTGATCCCCCCCAGGGGTCTGCCCACTGAGAAACAACTAGTTTAGATATATGAGGGTGTTGGACTATCCAGGGAGGTCAGTTATTCATTTTTCTTTTGTCAGTAACTTCTAGGAGACCTATACCATCTAAGACTCCCACAAGAATTCTATATGGGGTAAATATATGTAAGGAATTTCTTGTGTTTTCTCCTATTTTATTTTATGTACTGTTTTGCAATTTGTTTTCTGTATGTCATTTATTTCTGTATTTTGTACTCAGCACTGTGAATCCTTTTGGTCAGATTAAATGTTTACTTAATCAGCTTGTGTCTCTGTTCTCTATGAGCTTCACTCTCCAGAGGAAAGCTCAGGTAAACACGTTACCAAAAAGGGTTAACTATATATGTTTTATCAGTAAAAGTAGAACTGTGATACTATAATTCTCCTGTGTGTGGGGTAACCTAAGACGCCCGGGTTTAAAAGTCTTGGTGGTGGCAGTAGTACTAAGGGGGATAGTGTAGAAGGGATTGCAGGGGTTAATTGAGTGGTTGCTGGGACTAGCAACAGGTAACCAGGGGTCTGGTGTCATTAACCCTGTCACTTCCACACTCCCCCCACTGTCTCGGCTGGGCCTATAGCCCACGCACGTGACAAACTTTTTTTTTTTTTTACGCACGTGACAGTCCCTAAACCTGCGAATGCTCCGGCCGCAGCCTCAAGAGATGTGATAATCACTCTCCGCAAACGTAAAGAAAAAGCAACAATTCTCGCAGCCCTACGGGGAAGAACCCCCCCTCCGCTTTGAGGCCATGAACCTGACGTTCTACCCGGACCTATTGGGAGGCACCCTGGCCTGGCGTAGGTCACTCAAGCCGATCACCTCTGTGCTCCAGTCACACAACATCGAGTATCGCTGGCGATCCCCAACGGCACTAACGGTGAAACAAGGGATGACTACGCATATCATCCAGGACATGCACGAAGCACAGGCCTTACTGCAGACTCTGGGCCTGCCACTTGAATCCCTCACCTAGGTGGAGTTAACCAACAATACTCCTTCAACCCATACCAGGACACTGGGCAAGGCCACATCATTCACTCCCCGAGACTCCACACCGATTACCTACGCAGCGGTCACCTCCTAGGAGCGACACCACACACGCTCAGGGGGAACCTGACAACACCAGACACTGGGAAGGTAATAAACACGAAGTAGCCGGGACCATCCACAGTACCCCACAGCTACCCGACCAACAATCCGACTAACCTTAACAGTAACATAGACGGCTAACGCTGACTCCATGATACCGATGGCTACAGCTTTGCCCTACTCTCGACCACTACGGACTCTATAGGGCCCACCACAGAAAAACAACATGGGAACTATATATTACTCTGGGACATCTTTACCCATATTCTCGAGAGCATTGTACGCTCTATGTTTTCTGCCAGCCACTCACAAGAGACCCACTCCCAGAGACATCACCACTCAATTCTTACTACACTGGTTTCATTAATCCTGATGCAGCGGTTTAAAATAAACATACTTGTGATATATTGTAAATATGATTTCAAACTTGTATATCTTACTATGACATACTGCCTAGCCCCTCCAGCTGACACAGGTGTTTAGACATCCACTAACCAGTGATAACCTAAGGCAGTCTGTAACCATTCATGTTTAACCTGTTTGTAGTTAATCTGTTTATGTGCAACACGCAAGTCAAACACCTTTTAAAAGGCGCAAAGATAAAAATGGCTGCCCGAAGTTTAGACTTATACTTTTCTTCTGAACGTATGTTTCCTTAACGCCCTCATTGTTACTAGATCCAAAATTAATCAGACTTAAGCCTTATATACGGGACCCTCCAGGGACGATATGGCTATGCCGAGCCGAGGCATTGGCCGACAGTGCCATGTGCCCTCGAGCAAGGTACCCATGCCCCCCTCAGGAATTACAGTCATACCCTGTTCGCCAGAACCAAACCAGACAATATTAATATACATATGTCAAAGTTAATTTTATGCTTGATCGAATCTCAGCAGATTGCATTTACTCATCTATCTAGTTCCCCTCAGTTACTTAACCGGAGTTAACTTACTGATTAATCTTTATTGTGTTTTAACTAGTTCACATATATATCAGAACTTCGTACAAATTACTCACGGCAAGTTAACTTCAATATGGGTACCTACAGTATAAGTGTCGTTAATAGACTAAAAATGCTTTAACTAAAACTTGCTAACCTGTTTCATAGCGACAACCTAACCTTAATATTATAATGTTATTGTTCTAGCTCGAAAAACAACTGCTAACCCACTCAACATATTTTTTTAACCCTGTGGGTACTTAGGAATGCTATATGAATGCCTAGAAACAAAACTTGTTGTTGAACCCAAAACTATATTGATAATGGCTTGTTTACTCTACCACTACTTATTTTATTTTAAAAAATGTATACAAACTTAACATGCCACACAATTGTTATAACTATGATTATTGAGCCTGCTAACGCTGTTGTGGCGATACAGGTAATGTTGTACCTACCTGCATACCAAAAATAAAGAATTAAAAAACAAAAACAAAAACAAAAAAACAACATACCCCTAACTAATTACACTTTAACCATAATCCTAGCAATAGAGTTAGGATTCCCTCTGCTGAACTGCACAAGGGAATTCCTCTACTGACATCAGCAAAGGGATTCCCTTGCGGACCCCAATAAATTAAATCGAAACACAATCTTAAAAATAAACCTAATCATATCCAAATCTTAATTCTAATCCCAAGGGTTTATCTCTGCTAATATCAGAACAGATAGATTCTAAGCTAAAACAGAGTGCGGCATTGCTGCCATCTACTGGCTAATTTCAGTATTACTGTCTCCTATCTCTAATTCTAAAACTAGTATGCTGGGCAACTGCCTGAGACCCTGGTGGTCTCACAAGCACTATATCCAGTAAAAGAATCTCTGTAGCTAAGTTTGATATCTCAAATGCAGGGTTATCTAGGGAGTTAAAGAGATCTATACAGTGCAGACATTCAACATTACATGCAGCTCATCAAAAGGTATGGAGAATTGCCCAGCTGACAGAGGGGATTTAACCCTGCTCATACCACATTATTTACAATCCCCATAGTTACAGAGTATTTAACAGGATAAAAACCAAATGAGTAGCTGCCACATAGCTGAACCACAATAATATAAGTATTATGTAGACTGAAAATGGTCTCCTAATGATGCAGCAATGCTTAGTGACCTTTTACATTTAGTATACAAAGTAATGTTGAATTAAAAATCTCATCTGTCATGCCAACATTTTCTGTAAGTAAACATTTTTTGTAGCACATACCTCTTTAAAAGCATCTTCATCTGGCAACATTGTACACAAACAAGTGATAAATGTTTGACGGAAAAATAAATCATTTGAAATGTCTGCAGATTCAGAACAGAGTTTTGACAAGATCATTGCTTGCTGTATGCAGTTTGACTTCATCAAATGTTTTGCACGCATCTGTAGAAAACAGGACCCTTCTTGTGAAATCCATTTCTGAACTGGTAAAAAGAGGAGGAAAAAACCAAAACCACTAATTTACAACAAAATTCATTTGTCTGTACTACTGCTGTTAACACATGGGTTAAATATACACTTGCAGAATAAGCTAGTGCTATACACACACCTATTAATGAATATATGCTACATATTCTAACAAAACGCATTTTAGCAGCAACCATGCCAAGTTAGATGTCATTCCATGGGGCAACTTTAAAGGGACACTGTAGTCACCAGAACAACTACAGCTTAATGTATTTGTTCTGGTGAGATCATGCCCCTGCAATGTCACTTCAATTCCCTGCCATTTAGGAGTTGCATCAGTTTGTTTAAACAGCTCTAGTCACACCCCGCCAGCATAAGTCTTGCACAGCCTTCCTAAACGCTTCATGAAAAGGAACCTAGATATTTTAGGTTCCTTTGTTGCTTCCTGGTTAATCTAGAATTTTGAAAAGAAAAAAAAAAATATCACCTGCTCTGTTAACAGCCTTCTAGAGCCTACTCCAATTTACTGTGTTTGATTCAAGTTCAAATTACAAAGCTGGATAAATGCTTCTAAAGCAAGTTAACATCAGATTGAAAATTACACTTTTTTTCATGCATGCTGTGTGGGTCATAGCCAGGGGCGGTCTGACTAGGGCTGCATAGACAGAAACAAGTAATTTAACTGCTATGGGGCAGAGAATTGAGCAGTGAGACTATGATCTATACACCAAAACTGCTTCAATAAACTAAAAAGTGGTTTTGATGCCTATAGTATCACTATAAAGAGAGAGGTCAGAGATTATTTGCCACATGGTCACAAAATGCTAAAATGTCATACAGCTCCTATGGAATTTATACAAAATTGCCAACACATCAGCACAAAACTGAGAATGGGGTATATGGAGCTAAGGTGTCAGCTCTCAAAATTACAGAATATAAACACAATGACCATGTTAATACAACGCACAAAAAGTTTCTGGCCAACCCAACAATATTTGTGAGGGGGTTCATTTTTTAATTGTTGGTAAAATCTTATATATGTCCCCTATGACATGCTGCCTTGCAATCCCACCAAATATGTTCCATATCACCCCGTTTAGCTCCACACCTCCAGCATTGATCACTTACCAATGGACAAAATTTATGTAATCGAGCTGGAGTCCTATACCATCTACTAACTCTTCTAAAGAAAATTTTTCTAGACATGCTGATTTGTGAGTTCATCCCCATTTTAAACACGTATGACCAATCCTCATTATTATTATCGCCATTTATATAGCGCCAACAGATTCCGTAGCACTTTACAATATTATGAGAGTGGGGATTTAACTATAAATAGGACAATTACAAAACACATTAGTCAATTGAATATTAAGGCCTTGTATCCACTTCCGTTGAAAGGAAGGTACTAGCCCTTCCGTAGCCTGTCTCTGTATTATGTTATATATACTGGATAAATGCCATTTATTCAATGTCCGTGGACCACAGAGAAGCTCAAATTGTGTTTTATCTCTTGAATGCCAATAAAGTATCACTGATTTTTTTTAAAGAAAAAATTTTAATGTGAGATTCCCATTATATCCATGAGTGTTGTCTTACTTTTCCATTGAGGGAAGTCCCTAATCTTAAAAGGCGTTTCTTCCATCAATATTATAGGTGGATCTGCATCTCCTATTATACTTCTTAGTAAATGCTTACCATGACCATTCTGCTATAGGGAGAATACAGATAATCACAGGGCCAATCCCCAAATATCTTTAAAACGTCTCCATGTCTGTAATGTTTGGTTTATAAACTGATGTGAGGTAGGTAACAATACAATTAACTGGCAATTTTGCCAAGGTAGCATATGAAGCCTAGCCTTTATAAAGCTCTGTTCCAAAGCATACCATGATTTTTTTCTTATCTGTGGCCATCCACTCTCTTAATCGCATGAACAATACTGCCACCTAATATCTGTGTATATGTGAGAGGCCCAGTCCTCCTCTATCGATAAGTAATGTAAGTATATTATAGGCTATACGTGGGGTTTAATTACTCCAAATAAACGAGATGAGCAGCAAGCACATCTTTCTAAAAAAAACTCTTTAGGCACTAATTTAGGTAATGTCTGAAACAAATACAAAGCTTTGGGAAGTATCATTTTTATGATGTTCAACCTACCCATTAAGGAAAAGAAAGGCAAATCCCATTTTTTATGTTCTTTACCTATATTTTATACCAACCTTATTTTATGTAATTCTTTATGTTGTACTGACAGCTATATCCCAAGATGTTAAACCTGTATCAGTCCACTTATAGTTATACTTCCTCTGTATTTGCCCTTTCGATCTTTTGTCTATCCCAACCCCCAATATTTCACACTTATCTATATTCACTTTAAAATTTGAAAAAGCACCATATTTTTCCACTTCCATCTGAACATAAGATAGCGTATGTAATGGTTCTGTAATCATAAGTAAAACATTGTCTGCAAAAGCAGCTACCTTTGCCTCTCCTCCAATACATCTATATCCTTTAATATTTGTATTCCTTCGTATAGCCTCAATGCCAAAACAAAAAGCGGGGATAGAGGACAGCCCTGGCGGGTACCATTACCAATGTTAAAATGGGTCGATAATTGGCCATTAAAGGACCACTATAGGCACCCAGACCACTTCGGCTCAATGAAGTGGTCTGGGTGCCAGGTCCATCTAGGATTAACCCTGCCTGCAGTAAACATAGCAGTTTGTCTCATTGATTTTCACAGTGAGAATACGCTGACGTCCATAGGATAGCATTAAGAATTCTTTCCTATGGATCGGCTGAATGCGCACAGCTCTTGCCGCGCATGCGCATTCAGCCGATGAACGAAGGAGGAGGAGAGTCCCCAGCGCTGGAGAAAGGTGAGTGTTTAACTCCCTTCCTCCCCCTTCAGCCCGGCAGGAGTGGGACCCTGAGGGTGGGGGCACCCTCAGGGCACTCTAGTGCCAGGAAAAAAAATTTGTACATTGACATTCATTGAAAATTCACTCTAGCCAACTCAAATTTGATGGGCAATTTCTAAACTGCGACTGTGCCTTCACGGTTAATATTTCAGAGACATACTATATGCATCATTATTTTTCAGTTACTGAAGTATGTAAAACTGTTGGGTTTGGTGGTGGTGATGGAGAGGCAAGTTGGAGGAGCTGGCTGGTAGATTTAGAGTGCTGAGAATGCAAATAGAATCAAAGACAGAAAGGAGCACTGTAAGAGATATTGCATGAGGAAGAAAGCATGCAAATTGTAAGGCCATGGAACAATCACACTTACAGACTCACTGTATCCTCTATGAATTTCCAACAGCAAATGGGTAGTGAGGGTACTATTAGAGTCTTGAAATATGCCTTTAATACATGCTCAGATCCCTTCCGAATTTCTCATTAGTCAAAAGTACTGTAGGCTGGTAATTTGACATTATCTGTTTTCAACTGGGTTTAATTTCTTACTTAGTTTAAAATCAACCGATAGTTTGTGGGGTGGAATCAGTGAAAACATGCTACTTTTTCTTACCTTCTTCAGGTTGTATAGATTGTTGAGACAATATTTTAACAAGAACAGGGTTTTTCCACGCTCCTCCATTCTTAACAACATCAACCAACAACTGCAAATTGTTATTTCCAAATTCAACCAGTATATCATGGGATTCCTGTCAGCAAATAGATTGCAAATAAATATAAAGGATAGAAGTTAAACACCGAATAGCAAGCTGTCTTTCAAAAAACAAAGAATATGGCAGTCCTTCTGTATCCTCTGATACTAAACAATAAAAATACATATTGTGTTTTCTGGTTTTATTTATCTGTCTGCAAACACTTCTAAATGAGCTGAAATGGAAAGTGCTTTCGGACAGCCACAAAGTCTGGGGAGGAAGTGGAGGGCTTGCAAAGGCTGAAACAAGAGATCTGCAGCTTTTGCAAGTCGTTTTTACACACACATTAATAATTATAATAATAATAAAACATTTTTAAAATCACTTTTCCATTTGTGGGTGTTGAGGTTTTCATTTGGACTAGATTTACTAAATAGAGATTTTTTTTTGTATTTTGTCTGGGAAGTGTCCCTTTAATTGAATTCTAAGTGACCCAATTTTTTTAAACAATATATTAACAGCACCATGCTGCAATGCTCAAGCAAACATTTTAAGAGCTGAAGCTGCATGTTGAACAAAACATAACATGTATGAATTCCAATATTTATGGAATCCCTTATTCTGGAAATTATGTAGTTCATTTGTTTGTTGGCTTAATGAAGATGTTTTCGTGTATAGTGTCATGCATCTGCAGTCTAACTAAAAAATGTATGCAGCCCTAGTCACACCTCCCCTCAATTGTTTTACCTTCCCTTATTAAACAGAAAGCTTAATTTAGAATTTCTATTTCCTGCTTAGAGTATCTCTTTAATCAAATTGTATTAAGTTATGCATTTGTTCGAAAATGAATACACACGACTAATAAGGGTGTCTGAAATATTTTAAAGTGAGTACTCCTGTGTGTCTAAAGCTCCAACTAACCCTATCCCTTCGCAACTTGCTGATTGACACTGCAGCAGTTCAATTTAAGTGGTGACATCTGTATTCCTAACCCCTTTGGTCATCATCGTCGTCGCCCCCTCAACCCCCCAAACAGAATGGGTTTAAAAAAAACAGCCACTCTACTCACCTGATTCCAGCACGGATGTTCCTCGACGCTGGGTCGGTTCTCCGCCTACTACATAATTATCCGATGTAGGACGAGGGGGGGATGGGGGAGGGAACGGCCCAATGCGGATGCACGGCAAGCGCATTAGGCACTCGCCACAGGAAAGCATTGCCTCAATATTTTCCTATGGAGTTTTCACCGACGGATGACGTCCTCATACAGTGTGTAAGAATGTCCAGCGTAATTTAGGAGACCTAGAGTCCGGTAAACTCCCAGAAGCACCACTAGAGACTGTCAGTTCTGCAATGTAAACATTTCTGCCATTTCTGAAAAACGGGGACAGGGACACTTACCCCAGACCACTTCAATGATCTGATGTGGTTTGAGTGCCTATAGTGTCCCTTTAAACACTAACCTACATTCCTGTGCTGCCACTATGCAGGGTATTTAGGTGTTACACAATAGTAACTCCACCACCTGCTCAGAAGAGGTTCTACTGATCTCTTCTGTAATTCCCAGTATGTGAGAAGTTCCAAATACATGCCATCTGGTACCCTCTCATTCAACATTTTCTTCAGCTGACAGTATCCCCCTAACACAACATCTTCAGCAATTGCAGATATTGTTCCAATAAACAGCAAATTGCATAAAACATAGAAAGAAAATGTTGTTCTGTAAATAACCTTGTTAAGAAAAAAGGTGGTGAAGGCATGCAAAAAGTGTAATAGATGAGCAGCCATATTTCAAGTCACTTAGGCACTTTATCCAGACATTATGATTTAAGCTGACAAATTTTCCATTTGTATATTCATGCCCTGTTTGAAGCTTAAAATCTTAAAGATTGTAAATGAATGCGGCTCTGCCACCCTCTGGGATCTCTGCATAATATGCATAGCTGACACAGCTGCTTGGCGTCTGGTGGCCAGGAAAAGTTGAGGTTTACCTGAACCAGCCCTTTGTGGACACCACTATTCACTTCCTGTTAGTCTTTTTTTAGCATCTTAGAAGCAAGCATTAGCACAGTCTTCTCACACATTGACGAGATGAAGTTAGCATTAAGGTCTACGTACAATCCTATAGATCAGGGTATGGACGAGATTAGCATTGAGGTTTATATGTTCTGCAGAGAAAGCTTTATTTCCCTACACCCATCAAGGGTGATGGCTGGGGGAAACAACAAGCTTGACAGCAGAATCTCCACCGTTTGTCAAGCGTAGGAAAAATACTAAGACAAAGTAGTCCCTACTTTTTCTCCGTATATCTTTTGACTGTTAGAATTTTAGTGAAATTCCAACACAGTCAGTCTAAGTATTTCATAAAGATCCAAGCTTTAGGAAATACATTTTTTTTAAAAATTTTTTACAGAGCCGCTTTAACCCCTTAAGGACCAAACTTCTGGAATAAAATGGAATCATGACATGTCACACATGTCATGTGTCCTTAAGGGGTTAAAAAGATTCCATGATGTGCTATTTTGGTAATGTCACCAGAATACAGCATCACACATTATATCACACAAATTATTTAAATTATCCCACAGCACAATCTATGAAATACTTACAATATTAAAATAATTGAAATTAAAGTGGAACAGTCATCTAAACACATGAATAGAATACATATAAAAACACAATAGCTATAAAATGAAAGCCTTTTTTAAATGTGCAGCAATATCAAAGAAAAACTTGCTTTGAGGTTACTACAAACAACTCCGGAATCCTGTTGAGATCAAAAGATTCACAGAAAAACAAAATCAGATAATTATATGCAAATCTAGATGGAATACCTGAAGAGCAAATTCATAATTTGTGATCAAAATAGACAAGGTTATCTTACCATAACAGACTTTTTAAATTTTACACCAGGATCACAGGAAAAATCATCTTCAGTCATAGAAAGCACCACCTCAAAACAACTCCTAAGGAGAAAAAACAAAACAGATTAAAACTTAGATAATTATGCAGTGCACAAACTAAAGTGCTCAGCATTCCAGACATTAAGAACTTTAATATGAATCCAGTCATGAGGTAACTTCTCAGCTTGGTGCTATAATTTATCATTTGGCAAACCCAGCAGCTTAGATAGAAATACACACTCTGAAAACAATACTGAATTTCAGAGAACCTCATGAGGGAGGGTGGATGTCTCCAAACTGTGCTAATCTCATAAAAACAGTCATTGCAGTGGGGTACTCTGTAAATAGTAGCAGGTTTAAGCAATGTATGATCATACAATATATCCAAATACCTATTTTTAAGCAAATCAAATGTTTGTAATCCCTTACCGGCGTTCTATGCCGTTGCGCTTATAATGGGCTTTAAAGCTGTTGCGGTGGCATAGAATGCTGTAACTGCTTTGAGCACTGGAGCGCCCAGGATACTTGCCTTCCCATGCTCTGCTTAGGGAAGACTGCCTGACAGCCCAGGCAGCCCTCCCACGGCAAATCAGACTCCTGGGGTCCATGTGAATGCTCTCAAAGAGAAATATATATATCCTCCTGAGTCCCAGCCCATTAATGTGTGTCCTCTGTACTGGACATTTCATTAACATGTATCTCATGTTATTCTTTTGAGCTACTCTATCAAGCCCTGCTGTATTGTAAAGAGGACATCCTGGGCTTTCCAGTGATTTATCATGTGATAAGCTGGGAACTTCCTCCTGTTTTTCATAAAGGCATATTGGAAGACAAATTTTTTAAAAATAATTTGGGTTCCCAGGAGGATATATAGATCGATATATTATATATAAGCAAAAACCAAAAAGGTTATGGTGGGGAAAAATTGTGATTGAAAACCCTTTCCACCTGAAGTCTGTGGATAGTTAATACAATGTTAAGCTATAAGACTTGCTTTTCCACACACACACATATATATATATATATATACATATACACACACACACACACACACATATATATATACATATACACACACATATATATATACATATACACACACATATATATACATATACACGCACACATATATATACATATACACGCACACATATATATACATATACACGCACACATATATATACATATACACGCACACATATATATACATATACACACACACACATATATACATATACACACACACACATATATACATATACACACACACATACATATACACACACACACACACACACACATATATATATATATATATATACATATACACACACACATACATATACACACACACACACACACATATATATATATATAAAAACCATGGTGGCAATATAGTCAATTGTTCTGCAAATAAACAATAGAATATTTCACTTACAATACAAGCCTCCCAAGAAGCAGTAAAACATCTTCACATTCAGTGGTGAGGTACGGTCGAGCATTAGCAAAGCTTCTCAGAGCAGTTCCATATATGTCTGCACAGAGCATTACATTTTCTGACGCTATAAGATCCTCTGTGTGATGCAGTAATATCTAAGCAGAAATAAGGCAAGATCAACCAAACAAATTTCAGATTCAGACAATTTCGATTATTGAAACTTTCCACAAAATTCTGAATACACACACACACAAAAAAAAAAAAAGGTATTAGTCAACTGCTAAAGATGAAATACACCCGCAAACACATTTCTAAAGTTAGCAACACTTATCTAAAAAGGATAACACTTTTTATATAAACCTATTTAGCTTTAAACACTGGGTAAAACTCTGTAAAATTATTTTGAATGTGAAAATTAAATTCTATATAACTGTACACATTTCTTTTGCTTAAATTTCCCATCTATCCTCCATTTATCTTCCTTTAAAAATTTCCTTTTATTCTTCATTTCTCAAGCAGATGCAATTAAAATGACTCTGCCCTGATTACTGCAAGCATTGTTTAATCAGAAACATCTCTTTAATTATACATTGTGTATGAGTGCCTTCTTTACGTGTTCACAGTCATCTGTTTAACCCTGCAATAGAAAGAAAGCCATAACACACAGCTAGACAACTGAAACCATAACCAGTGGCATGCAGTAATGGTTTTTGCTACTTGGAATGTTTCTTCAGCGTTAACAGCTATCTTGCTCAGAACACAATACTACAAAACATATGCATAAAGTCCTAAATGGTAGTAAAACCATCAGGACCATTACATTAAACGAATGCAGTATTAAAAAAAATGCTCAGTTCCTTTATCTATAGAATTCAACTAGTAAAATACCCACTTATCTTAACAATGGCACAAACTGTGTATGTTTGATATTCAAGAAAAAAAAAAAGGGAACGCTAAACAAAGTTTATTTTAATTAAAAAAAAAAAATACTTAAAGCTAAAAAGAAACTGAACATATGTGCATGTGTATATATTGTGACAAAAGTATCTCTTTCCTTTGGTACCTTGTCCTGGGATCAGGGTTCTATGGATAAATGACTTGGTCTTTTCATTGTGGCTCCAAAATTCAACAGGGTATTTAGCAAAGTTTAACAAAAATCCTTGCTCTTATATGCTTTAAAGGATCACTAGAGTGTCAGGAAAACAAACCCGTTTTCTGACACTATGTCATCCTTGGGGGACCCTCACCCTCAGGGTCCCCCTCACATGGCGCTAAAAGGGTTCAAATCCCTTCAGCAGCTTACTTTAATCCAGCGCAAGGCTCTCTCGGCGCTGGTGACCTCTGCTCCCCCGTCAGCTCCTGAGTCAAGCGCATTCTACCAGTCCATTGGAAAGAATTTCTTAATGCTTTCCTATGGACGTTCTGCACGCTGGATACGAATTTCGCATCCAGCGTCGCCGAAGCGCCTCTAGCGGCTGTCAGGAAGACAGCCACTAGAGGTTGGATTAACCCCGCTATGTAAACATAGCAGTTTCTCTGAAACTGCTATGTTTACATGTGATGGGTTAAATCTTGAGGGACCTGGCACCCAGACCACTTCATTGAGATGAAGTGGTCTGGGTGACTATTAGTGTCCCTTTAACTTAAAATTGTAAACTGACTGGGTTGGACGGCTTGTCCATTTCCCAACAGAAATATTCACATTTCAGTTTCTTTTAGTTGCTCCTTTTACACCTTACAGGAAGAAAAACAAAATCTGACAGGGGAGTATCTAACAGCACTTTAATTATCTACTGCAGGTGAGGTAAACCACACAGAATTCTGGAACCAGATTCCACCTCTGCAGTCCCCTGGAAATCTCCAAAATGTGGAGTGGATCACTGGCCCACCCTACTCTCCAAGTGCTCCACCTCTCACATTTTATATACACACACATTTGACAAGTGTCAAATAGTGATGGATAGATGACTGGGTCAGAGGATCTCCAAAACAGCAACCCTTGTGGGGTATTACCACTATGCAATGGTTAGTACCTACCAAAAGTGGTGCAAGGCAAGACTCCTTAAGGCACGCGGTGAGCGAAGGTTAGCCCATCTGCTCCAATCACACAGAAGAGCTCCTGTAGTTCAAATTGCTGATAAACTTTTAAAGGGACACTATAGTCAACAAACCAATTTTAGCTTAATGAAGCTGTTTTGTTGTATAAATCATGCCCCTGCAGTCTCACTACTCAATTCTCTGCTATTAGGAGTTAAATCGCTTTGTTTGTTCAGCCTAGTCTGCATGTGACCTACACAGCCTTCCTAAACACTTTATGTAAAGAGAGATCTAATGTTTACACTTCCTATATTGCAAATTCTGTTTAATTTAGAATGTATTATCTCCCCCTCTGTTAATAGCTTGCTAGACCCTGCAGCAGTCTCCTGTATGTGATTAAAGTTCTATTTACAGAGCTGAAGATACAAACTTTTAAAACAAGTTACATCAGATATAAAATGAAACTATTCTGTCTACATGCAGGCTGTGTCAGTCAAAGTCAGTGGAGGTGTGGCTAGGGCTGCATAAACAAACAAAAAGGATTTAGCTCATAAATGGCAGAAAAATGAGCAGTACGAATGCAGTGGCATGATCTATACACAAAAACTGCACCATTAAGCTTAAGTTGTTTTGGTGACTATAGTGTCCATTTATAGATAGATAGATAGATAGATAGATAGATAGATAGATAGATATATATATATATATATAAAAAAAAAAAATGTATGAGATACAGGTGGTCCTCACTTTACGACGGTTTGCACGTATGACCAGCTCAATAGCGCAGGGATTCCCCAATTCAGAGAGCTGGTCTATGTTCATGGAATTTTCCCCAAGTATGGATTAGAGGGATTCCCTGCTCTGGTGCGTATGTCTACATTCGGGTAAATTTCCCCGAACATAGCCCTGCACTGGTGCGCACGCTCACTTACCGACCAATTTGTTTTACGACTGAGTCAACATCCATTTTACGACACACACTTCCATTGTACAGTGCTACGGAATTTGCTGGGGCTATATAAATAATAATAAAATATATATCGTGGATAGTTAATACATTGCTAAACACAAATACACACACCAGTGAAGCCATAAGACTTGCTTTTCCCACAGAAATCTCACTTTAACAGTGTTCTCACTACTGCAAAGGATTCTAAGTAAGTGTATGCAAATGAGCTCTACAAAGAACCACATTTTTGCCAGTATTCCACTTTATACATGGATTCCTTTAAGTATGTGTTTGCTGTATACAACAGCTTTGAAAAACTCAGGAAGAGGAGCAGTCAGTGAACCACTCATGGACAGCTGTTTCGTTGTTAATGTTAAAACTCATCAGCATGAGGTTGGCTACTGGCTTGCTTTGGAGATTCTGCGTTTCTTGTAAAGTACATACCAAATGTGTATAAACAAACAAAAAAAAGGAACATGCTATATTTGACCCTATAACTTTACAAAAACAAACATAAAGGTACTGTTGTACTTGTGAGACATCTCGAAATACAAATGTGTATTTTATTGCAGTAAAAGCCAACAGTATGTGAGGCAAGTGGGACTACCAACTCCAATAAGAAGTGTATCGGCAACAACTATATTGTTTACGCCCTATTCTAAGCGGCTCTAAACACAGCCGGGCGTAATAGTACGCCCTCCGGTCTTTTCCTACTTACCCGGTCGCCGGCGATCGCGGTTGGGGGCACTCCCAGGGAGCCCCCCGCGGCACGTCCGACCCCCTGGAAATGTGAGAGTGAGGTCCTTGCGAGGACCCCACAATCACATGGCCCGGGGTAGCTGGCTGCAGCATTGCCAGCAGGGGGACTGCCTGTAATGACAGGTGGTCCCCCTGCTGGCTGGAAATAAAATCAAATAAAAAAAATGTAAAAAAAATTATAATATACACTTAGATCATATCATATTTTATATATATATATATATATATATATATATATATATATATATATATATATACATACATACATACATACATACACACACACACGTACACTGTCTAGGTGTATTTTACTATTAATATATCAAATTACATGTAGACTGATACTGATTAAATATATATATATTGTTATATATATTTATATATAATATAAAAAAATGTAAATACGTTAAAAAATTTAATTTAAAAATATATAGATGTGTGTTATTTCGTTCTAACTGTATTGTGAAATATATATATATCAAAATACACGTAGAACGAAATATATATATCTATATACATAATATATACGTATATAATCACTATATATATACCTATATATAACTAAAAATATTTTTAAAAATTACATAGATATATACATACACATACGTGTGTGTGTGTGTGTGTGTGTGTGTGTGTGTGTGTGTGTGTGTATATATATATATATACACACACACACACATATATATATATTAATTCTACATATATATTTATGTAATATTTTTACATAATTAGGTATCTTAATTAATTACAATTAGCGGGACCTGCTTGACAACCCATGCCAAAAGTAAAGGGAATTTAATTTGCTAGCACTATATTTAACCCTATAACTTTCCAAGACACCATAAAACCTGTACATGGGAGGTACTGTTCTACTCGGGAGACTTCGCTGAACACAAATATTAGGGTTTCAAAACAGTAAAATGTATTACAACGATGATATCGCCAGTAAAAGTGAAGTTTTTTGCATTTTTCATGCACAAACAGCACTTACACGGACGATATTATTGCTGCAATACTTTTTACTGTTTTGAAACACAAATATTTGTGTTCAGCGAAGTCTCCCGAGTACAACAGTACCCCTCATGTACTGGTTTTATGGTGTTTTCAAAAGTTACAGTGTCAAATATAAGGCTTGCGTTTCATTTTTTTTCACATTCAAATTCGCCAGATTGGTTAGGTTGCCTTTGAGACCCTATGGTAGCCCAAGATTGAAAATTACCCCTATGATAGCATACCATTTGCAATAGTAGACAACCCAAGGTATTGCAAACGGGGTATGTCCAGTCTTTTTTAGTAGCCATTTAGTCACAAACACTGGCCAAAATTGGCGTTTTTTGCATTTTTCACACACAAATACTAACGCTAACTTTGGCCAGTGTTTGTGACCAAATGGCTACTAAAAAAGACTGGACATACCCCATTTGCAATACCTTGGGTTGTCTACTATTGCAAATGGTATGCCATTATGGGTGTAAATTTAATTCCTGGGCTACTATACAGTCTCAAAGGCAACGTAACCAATCTGGCAAATTTCAATTTCAAATGTAACGTGCTATATTTGACCCTGTAACTTCCCAAAACGCCATAAAACCTGTACATAGGGGGTACTGTCTTACACGTGAGACTTTGCTGAATACAAATATGTGTATTTTATTGCAGTAAAATCAAACAGTATTATGACATTGACCGTTAAAATGTCATGTAGAACTAAAAAAATAAATCGTATTTTCTCCCATTTTTTTCATATAAAATTATGTTTCATAGCTAAATATTTGATATTAAATGAAAGCCCTGTTTCCCCTGAATAAAATTATATATAATAAGGGTGGGTGCATTTACTATGAAAGAGGTGAATTACGGTTGGACAGATATGTAGCGCAAATGCCAGGTTTTGTTTACATTTTGTTTTGTTCACAATGTGTACATTTGGCTCCGTCCTTAACCCCTTCAGGACGGGTGACGGACGAGGTCCGTCACACAGGGGAGACCCTTAACGACGGGTGACGGACCTCGTCCGTCACGCGGTAAAATTAACCCCGGATCGCTGCTATCGCGGGGTTAATGGTGCTCCCGGTATGCCTCTGCATTGGAGGCATACCGGGAGCACCCGGTCAAGCTGCCCAGCACATGTGCTCGCTCTGACCACAAGTCTGAGCAAGCACATGTGCTCTCTATACTCACCTACCGGCTCCCTGCACTTCCGGGTTCTGTGTGAAGTGCAGGGAGCCGGATCAGTGCTGATCCTGCCCCCTGCTGTAAAAAAAAATAAAGTTTATTTAAAGTCCCCCCTTACCCATTTTAATAAAAAATTAACCCCTTCCCTGCCAATTGATCACTGACTACAGTGATCAATTGGCAGGGATTACATTTTACTATGATCTGATTTTTTTTTTTTTAACCCCTGAGGGGTAATTCTTTTTTTTTGTTAACCCTCAGGGTTTTTTAATTATATATTTAGATAGCTGGGGTGGGTGGAAGTTAGTGGGGAATTGGGGGATTTGGCGTTAGGCTAACTAGGGGTTAACGTTAAAAAAAGTTTTAAAAGAAACTTTAAAAAGTTAAAAATTAAGCTTAAAAAAATGTTTTAATAACATTTAAGTAAAAAAAACAAAAAAAACACACTTTACCTAGTCCAAATAAAAATTAACCCCTTCCCTGCCAGTCGATCACTGCCTACAGCGATCAAATAGAGATCACAGTATTATACTGTGATCTAATTTTTTTTAACCCCTGAGGATTAACTTTTATTTATTTTTTTAACCCTCAGGGGTTCAATTTATTTAATTAATTAATTTAAATATTTTATAACTATATATTTTGCTAGCTGGGGTGGGTGGGAGTTATGGGAAAATGGGGAATTTACTGTTACTGCTGCGTACTGCTAGTTAGGGGTTAACGGTAAAAAAAAAAGCTTAGAAAAATGTTAAATCTGTAAAAAAGTTTTAAGAAAGTTTAGGAAAGTTTAAAAAAAATTTATAAGCAAAACAAAAGTTTAAAAACTAGTTTTTAAAAGTAAAAAAGTTATAAAAAGTAAAAAAATACATTTTAAAAACGCTCATTACCACTACACCTGGAGCAAACTAGAGAAAAAATTATCCCACGCCAAGGTTCAAAATATGCCTTTTGAATTACCCCAGGGTGTATTCTTTAATAAATAGTATGTGTTTGTGGGGAAGTTTCAATAACCAACCGTCTAAACTACTCCAAATTGGAACATGGACACAGCGTAAAACTTCAAAGTTAGAAAAAAACTGAATGGCTGCGTCTCAAATGCGCCCCTTCAACATCCACATATACCTGGCAAAGGTACATACGGGGGTATTGCTGTACTCAGCCAACATAGCTGAGCAACATATGAAGTATTATACAGTCATAGCACACATAAGGTTTGCAAAATATGCTGCGCAAACTCACTTTGTATGTCAAAAAGGCAGAAAAAATGCTTATTACCACTACACTTGGTACAAGCTAGCGGAAAAATGATCCCACGCTAAGGTTCAAAATATGCCTTTTGAAATACCCTGGGATGTCTTCTTTAAGAAATGGTATGGCTTTATGGGGAATTTGGATTATATAGCCTGGTAAAATACTCTAAAATGGGACATAGGCACAGCATAAAAATTCAAAGTTTGAAAAAAACTGGAATGGCTGTGTCCCAAATGTGCCCCTCCGATGTCCACACATACCTGGCAAAGGTACATACGGGGGTATTGCTGTACTCAGCCGACATAGCTGAGCAACATATGAAGTATTATACAGTCGTAGCACACATAAGGTTTGCAAAATATACTGTGCAAACTCACTTTGTATGTCAAAAAGGCAGAAAAAACGCTTATTACCACTACATCTGGTACAAGCTAGCGGAAAAATGATCCCACGCTAAGGTTCAAACTATACCTTTTGAAACACCCTGGGGTGTCTACTTTAAGAAATGGTAGGCCTTTGTGGGGTAGTTTGAATTTAAAACCTGCGAAGATGCTTGGAAATTGCACATAGGCCCAGCGTCAAAATTCAAAGTTTGGTAAAAACGGATATGGCTTGGTCTCCTATATGGCACTGTAGCTTCACGAAATAGTGCCAAAGACATTCATATGGGGTGTCATTTTACTCAGAAGACTTAGCTGAGCATAATTTGGGGGGTTTGAACTTAGTGGCACATATGAAATATACAAAACGCCCAGCAAAAATGCAATCCGTATGTAAAAAATGCACAAAATTATTTTTTACCACATACTTTGGCATATATTGGTGAAAAAATGGGGGCATGTTAAGGCACAATATGCACCTTATAAGATACCCTGGAGTGTCTACTTTTACAAATGGTAGGCCTTTGTGGGGGTTTTTTGAACAGTCAAACTGTTATAATACCCCAAAATGGAAGCTAAGGCTCATTAAATCCATCTCTCAAAATTCTACTGTGAATACTGAAAAGGACAGGTATCCTGTATGGCACTGTAACTTCACGAAATAGTGCAAAAGACATACAATGGGGGTGTCATTTTACTCAGCAGATGTAACTGAACACAAAATAAAACTTTGTACAGGAATAGCACACACCAACTTTACAAAATATACACGAGAATTTCTCTGTTATAAGTTTGTGTGCCAAAAACCAAAAAGAACACAATTTTACTCCAATATTTAGCAGAGGTTGGCGGTGAAATGGCTACGTAGAAAGTGTCAAAACAACCTTAGGTAAATAGCCCGTGATGTCTACTTTATATAAATATATACTTTTGTGTGGCAATTTTGTTTTCTTTTATGGCTATTAAGCTTACAAGACAAACATACCAAATTCTAAAATCGCTCCACATTAAAAGTTTATTTTACTCCTTGTGCTTTGTGACCTGTAACTACCAAAAAAAACTTAAAATCCCAGACACATTATATATTCTGTAAATCAGAACAAATAAATAAATTTATTTTTAATTACTTTCCTTAACCTGCACTAATTATGCACACATTATTATTGCAAAAACTGTAAAAAAAAACCAATGTTTTTCATTTTTTTTGCATTTTTCTGTATTTTTTTTATAATAAGTAAGCATTTATATATATATATATATGTTATATCAAATTAAAGCCCTTTCTGTCCTTTAAAAAACAGTATATAATATGTGTCAGTGCAATAAATGAGAGAGATGCAAATTGCAGTTGAACGCAAACAGCAAGAAAATGCAAAAATTGCTTGTGTCATTAAGCGTAAGTCAAGCTTCTGAAGCTGTGTCCTTAAGGGGTTAAGGGGTTAATTAAGATTTCTTGTTAGTGTTTATTTTTACCATAATGTAAAACTTTGACAGATTGCAATCAGTACACACATCAATGTATGCCATAATATTTGCCTTAAATGGACACTATATTCACCAGAACTACAGCTTATTGAATTTTTTCTGGTGAGTAGAATCATTACCTTCAGGCTTTTTGCTGTAAACACTGTCTGAAAGGCAGTGTTTACATTACCGCCTAGTAATAATTTCACTGGCCACTCCTCAGATAGATGTTACATATCCTTCCTGGGTCATGGCTGCCTAAAATGCATCCAAACATTCAGTGTCTCCTCCCTCTGCATGCAGACACTGAACTTTCCTCATAGAGATTCATTGATTCAATTCATCACTATGAGGAGATGCTGATTGGCCAGGGCTGTGTTTGAATTGTGCTGGCTCTGCCCCTGATCTGCCTCTTTGTCAGTCTCAGCCAATCCTATGGGGAAGCATTGTGATTGGATCAAGCCACTACCACTTCTGCTGATGTCAGCAGGTCTAAAGGAAACAAGGACTAGGCCTGCAGCTTCAGGCTTGAATACAAGTAAGATTTTACTATATTTAGGTAGGCATGAGGGGGCCAGGGTGGCTAGATGGTGGTTTTAACCCTATAGGGTCAGGAATACATGTTTGTGTTCCTGAACCTATAGTACTCTTTTAACGCTATAAAATTTCCCTTCGGTGTCCAAATTATTGACAGCTGAAATGTGATTTGGCTTTTGCACAAGCCTTGATACAACTGAAACTTCCCTCATTAAAAAAACCAAACCAAAAAAACACAAAAAAACTAAGTATTATGATATACACAGTTAAAATGCCACACAGAACTTTTTTTTTTTTTAAAACAAAATCTTAATTTCTCACACTTAAGATTTTATTCATAATAAATTGGGTTTCATATATGAATAGTTAATGTGAAATTAAAGCCCTGAAAAAATGATATATAATAAATGCAAATTCCACTTTTTGTTTACATTTTGTTTTGATCAGATCAATCCTTGAAGGACCACTATAGTGCCAGGAAAACACTCTTGTTTTCCTGGCACTATAGTGCCCTAAGGGTGCTCCCACCCTCAGGGACCCCCTCCCGCTGGGCTATGGGGAGAGGAAGGGGTTAAACTTACCTCTTTCTCCAGCGCCGGGCGGGAAACTCTCCTCCTCCTCTCCGGCTCAATGCGCATGCACAGCAGGAGCTGCGCGCGCATTCAGCCAGTCTCATAGGAAAGCATTCGTAATGCTTTCCTATGGATGCTGGCGTCTTCTCACTGTGATTTAGTATCACTCTAATGGCCATTAACGTGGAAGCTCGCCTACCATGTCAAGGCAAACCTCTTAGGTGAGTCCTACACTAACAAAACACCTTGCTGCTTTAAGCTAAAATCGCTAATGACACAGAAAGAGGTATTTTTCAAAATCCCAACCTACTTATTGTTCTCTTCACCCTTTTGTTCCTGAAAGTGTTTGCAATAATCTAATTAACCCCCCCTCCCAATATTGTAAAGTGCTACAGAATGTGTTGGCGCTATATAGATGCCAATAATAATACTGGGGTGGGCAGCAGCACTGTAACATGGCTGTGTAATACAAAAGCAAATACAAAAATTAAAGGGCCACTATAGTGCCAGGAAAACATACTCGTTTTCCTGGCACTATAGTGCCCCGAGGGTGGCCCCACCCTCAGGGTCCCACCGGGCTGGATAGAGAGGAAAGGGTTAAATCTTACCTTTTTTTCCACCGCCAGGCGGGGAGATCTCCTCCTCCTCTTCGGCTGAATGCGCATGCACGGTAGGAGCTGCACGCGCATTCAGCCAGTCTCATAGGAAAGCATTCATAATGCTTTCCTATGGATGCTTGCGTCTTCTCATGTGATTTTTCACAGTGAGAAGCACGCAAACACCTCTAGCGGCTGTCAATGAGACAGCCACTAGAGGCTTTAGAGGCTGGATTAACCCATTTATAAACATAGCAGTTTCTCTGAAACTTTTGTTTATAAAAATTTTTTTAAAAAATGTGTTAACCCTAGCTGGACCAGGCACCCAGACCACTTCATTAAGCTGAAGTGGTCTGGGTGCCTAGAGTGGTCCTTTAAGGGGTTAAAGAAACAATAGTGTTAGGTACTCAATAGTGGCCCTGTCCCAATCTAGTTTAGCGCCACTACATTACGTTTTCTAGAAAAATAAAACTTTTTTTTATTTTTTATCTTGGGGGTGCTGCTGGTCTCTGTGCCTGCTGCAATGTCATCAAGAAGGCATAGTTTCACAGAGGAGCATTGGGGATCTGATGTCCTTGTGTGGCAAGAATTTAATATGCATTTCCTATGGGCTGCTTCATCACGTGAACAAGTTTTACTTGGGCAGTGCAGCTAAAGTGACCCCAGTGGCTATCAGTATAGCCTCCATTAGAGGTGTCTTTAACATATGAAGGAAAATACTGCCTTTTCAGTAAAACAGCAATGTTTTACTTTGATGGGTAAAACATACAGGATCAATGCACCCAGACCACTTTATTGAGATGTTCCAGATCTGTCTGACCTTCCAGTTCGGTGCCTATAAAAGTTCAACTATTACATGTAGAAGGCTGCTGATCTGCATTTTGTACATTCAGCACAAGGATAATGTTTAACTTTTGTTCCAGAAAAAGATCACACATGGTTGCTTAAAATCTGACCATAAAAAATGTAATTCTCAAAGCTTATATTTTGAAAAAACAAACAAGAAATAGAAAGTCAAATGCTATAGGAAAGAAGAGGCAACAGGCTTAAAATTCCTCAATTCCTCAAAAAAAAATGTACAAAGAAAAGATTTTCTCTTCCATAGATTTTGACTATTGACACCATACTTAAAAATGGTACTCTATTCAGCATAACTACTACAGCTAGTTCAGAGTTTTGCTTATGGTGCAAAGAACCTGTGGTTGCATCAAAACAAAAAAGGGGGCTCTCCTTGGCATCAAGAGACCACCTCTTCCCTAGCTATGTTAATAGTTTTGACTTTAGCCTGACCAATTTTAATTCCATCCAGCCTGAGGGCACTGGGCTAAAATCCAGTGATATGTTTTTCTTTATGTATTACTGCTGTTCCAGTCATTATTACACTCCATAAAATACATTGGACAAAAAAAAAAAATCTCCACATACAAACAAGTACCACAATATTTGAAATAAAATATAAATCTGAGAAATCACCAATGCTATGCTCTTTAAAGAAACACTCCAAGCATATAACCAAAACACTAGCAGCCTCCAACTGTAAAATAATCAAACAGATTGACTTAGTTAAGAAGGCAAAATGTTTGACTACTGTAAAAAAATTGACTACTTCCAACATGGGGGGAACGATTGGTGTATGGTACTTGCATTGTTCCTCTAAATACAAATTTCTTAATTTCCACTAACTGCTATGGGGAAAAAAAATAAAAATACCTCACTTCCTCATGTTTTATGCCTCAAATGACTTGCCATCATTATATTTGGCAGTTTACAAAATATATTTAAATGTCCTGTTGTAACTATACATAAAGATTTCCATTAAGATGTAGGAATCATAATTTAGATCTTCCTTAAATTCAACAGGAGCGATTAGAGGTTTTTTTACTTGAGAATTCAAAGCAAATTTAAAAAGCTGGACCAAAAGAAGCCAAGAACTAAACATATAAAGGACTGACATTTTTCTGTTCAACTATTTTTACCTTGAATTTAAAATTCTCTCTCAGTTTAGTGAATAACTCTGTATTATCTCCAATAGCATGAAACCAAGACTATATATATATATATTAGGATAATATAGTCGGTGTGTAACACCTACCTTAAAGAGTATAACAAAGAGAGAGTATAAATCCGGAGATACATTTTAAAATTTAAGCCCAAAATAGTCAAATAGGTAGATTGTCAGTTTAGTGATTAAAACTAAACTGTGAAATTCACTTTGAATTTCTGACAAAGTAAACTTCAGTGAATTAACCTGAATATGTCCTGAGGATATTAAGAAACAACACATGTGAAGGTACCTCTGCCAGCAGCAAATTGTTCAGTTGGTAAATACCTTTAGGTAGCGGTTCTTTAATCTGTGATCTTCTGCAATGCTTTTTTTTTTTAAATTACCCTTTTAATACCAACTAGCTAGCTAACACAAAAACGAAAGAAAATACAATTATACTTGTAGAGTGTTCTACATTCTTATGAAAGGCATAATGAATATCTGACAACAAATGTTAAATTGTAGAGTGAATGACCACACGGCTTAAACAGACCATGTAAAGTGACGAGTAAACTATCAGCTCTGCAAGACTGCATTTTGCAAAGAGACTGATTAGAAGGTGAACTATGGACCTTAACTAAGATTTATGCTGTAAACTTGGAAGACAACAGTACAATGTGATTACTTTTTGTTTTGCAGAATTGTATCTGCTGCAGAAAATGGAGGAAAGACAGTCTACCATTTCTGTAGAGTGAGGCCAAAGCGGGGAGGGGAAGCAAAGAGATCTAACACTAAGGCAATGCTTCCCTTATCTACACGGCACTTCCACCATACACTCAGGCATACAGCCAACACTGGCCTATTAACTTCCTGCACTGGTAACACTGAAGTTGAACCCTCCCATAATAAAAAAAAAAAAAACCCCAACAAGTTTCATGCTGCTGTACACATGCAGCAATATATATATATATATATATAAAATATTACATATTTGTGCTTTCTGTGCACACGTGATTCCCTACCTGCAATATTTATTGCTACCTTGCTTTCTTTTAACCTTATCTTTTTTTATTGTCATGGAATTGGAAACTTGTCCTCCATCATTTATATCAGATCCAGGCTGCAGTAACACTCCCTGCTGATTTATTGCCTGGCGCTGTACGCTAACCCCAAGACAGAGGTGGCCACAACCTCAGCTGTTACAAACACTGCCAGTCCCCAGTGATGCTCTCTGCTCCAGCCTCTAGGCTGGCAAAGCCTCATGGGAGCTGTAGTTCTGCGGTGGCGGCAGCAGCTGAGGGCTAGCTCTGGCCTTGCACTGTGTGGCTGATAAGGCTCTGGCTGTTTTGCCCGCATTCCTGATAATGACGATTTACACACACGGTCCCCAGGCCGCCGTGCATCATGGGAGCGGACATCTCCCCCTGCCAGCTCCGCCATTGCCACCCGCATAGCTAGCCCGAGCCTCCCGGGCGATAAAGCGGTATCGCACTGTGATGAATTGGGCTGGGGGAAGGAGAGCGATATACCTCCCCCATACCCCGCCCCCATCACTCACTGTCAGCAACCAAAATAACAGCATTATCCTGTTCGCACGGGCATTGCCCCCAGTCAGACCCGGCCGGGCCCCGCTCTGTCCGGTAACGGCTCGCCGGCCGGGCCCTGGGCAGCTCCCGGCAGTGTGTGCTCTGGTTCTCCCCTCCTCTGCTCACACTCACCTCGCAAGTGCTCCCGCAGTACATGGCGGAGGTGAGCACGGACACCTCGTCTTCCCTCAGTTGGTCCTCCAGAGCCCGCAGGGTCTCCACGAAGCGGTGGGGGAGCGGAGGGGTGGAGGGAGGCGGCGGCATCCCGCCGTTGGCTAGCCCCGCTCGGGACTCTCCCTTCCCGTCCGCCATCTTCTCTCGCCTTTGCCGCGCGTAGGCAACACACTCGCACACTCACTCTCTGCGTCACGTGACTCGGCGTCGGTTGGGTAACGTCATCACCAGGGAGACCCGCGGGCGCGTACACAACTCCCCTTGCCCACGCAAAGCCCCGCCCCGTGCTGGCAGGGAACGCCCACAAGCGGCAGCCATTTTGTTTGTTAATGGGCCTAGTTCCCGGATTTTCATGGCAGTAGCTCCATGGTGTGGTGGGGACTAACACACTGCTAGCATTGTTACCAGTAGTGATTGGTAACTTCATCTCAAGGGCCTTCAGATAAATAAGCCTTGTCTGCTAAGTTGTATAAACACAATTACAGTATATGTCCTTATAGGAACATCTAAGGAAGTTATAGTGTGGTGTGTTATGTTGGCTACCAGACTAACACTAAATGGTGCAGCCCCCTGGAGACCCCCTCACAGTCACTAGGTATAATGATGTGAAGGGGGTAAAGGCGGCGCTGAGGGCTAATAACAGTAGCCTTTACCCCCTTCACATCTTTTAGCTTGTTTTATTAAGGGTCTTGAGGGATTCCCTGTTTTTGGGTTGCTGCTTTTTATCTTGTTATTTAGCGCTGACTCTAACCCCACTAATTATAAAGACCCCCATCTCCAACTCTCCATGTTATCTCATCTTCCTTTCACTTCATCTCGCCCACAGCTTCCACAGATCATCTCTAACTCCCCATCTAATCCTTGGCTCCCACTATGTTCCTGTGTGTCCAACTTGTCTGGTTACAACTACATGTCTGTTCGTCCACCCATTGTAAAGCACTGCGGAATTTGACGGCGCTCTATAAATATAATAATAATAATAATATCTCATGTCTGCCCAGCTCCTCCGTCTCCAGTCTCCCCTCTCAGCTTCTGCTCTCCCAAATTCACAAGGTTGTTGTATCTATTTTCCCCCTGCATCTTATGCCTCACCCCAATTATGCATTATATTACCACCGGCTGCCCCATAATACCCCACTTTGTCACTAGCCTAATCTTTTACCCAGCCCCCTCAATGACCAATCTTATCACCCGTCTCCCCTCCACCCTCAGCTCTTTCAGTGACTACAATATATGACTAAGTGGCAGAACTAAAGTAGAGAAGAAGAATTTATTTGAGGCATCCCCCCACAAGAGTAGGGGAAAAAAAGGTAGATCCCAACCTGTCGTACAACTCCCACAATGCTTTGCCACCTGTGGATTTATGATTTGCCCATTCGTATATGGTATTTGGCACTGTGCAGTGTTTGTATGTTTGACTGTAAGCATGTTTTTTTTACATTTTTTTTATGGAGTATGTGTGTGTGAATGTAGGTTTGTATTTGTGTGTAGTGTTGTGTATTTTTATGTACTGTTTCCATTTGAAAGCAGTGGTTTACTTGTGTGTTGTGTTTGCCTTCGAATGTAGGTAATATATATGTATGATACCGCACTCAAAGTTTGATTTAAATAAAATATGTATTTATTTCTGAGCCCATTAGTATAAGTCTGTTATTGCACAGTATACTATACAGATATAACAAAAAAGTAAAATTATAACATAAACAGCCCTATATGGACATAACAATGTAATATTGTGAGTGATATACAAAATAGAATGGAATAAAAATATCCCTAATAGATATGCCTCATCTGGTATGTAATGACTCAATAGACAATGTTGTATTACAATAAAGATGAACACTGTGCAAATAGATCACTATCTGCAACCATATGGCAAAAATAAAAAAATATATATTGAAAAAATATTACCTCATTTGGTTTCCACTACCACCTGTACGCTGATGACACCCAGCTATATCTCTCCTCCCCAGACCTCTCCCCTGCTGTCCTGCAACGTGTCACTGCTTGCCTTTCTTCCATCTCTGACTGGATGTCCTTCCGCTTTCTGAAACTCAATCTCTCAAAAACCGAGCTCCTTGTCTTTCCTCCTCCTAATACTGATCCTCCTCTCTTGCTCTCCCTTCAAGTTTGTGGTACCAACATCAGCCCATCCTTGCAAGCGCGCTGTCTTGGCGTCATACTTGACTCTGGTCTCACCTTTGAGCCTCACATCCAGCATGTTGCCAAATCCTGTAGATTCCATCTTAAAAACATAGCCCGCATCCGCCCCTTTCTTGCACCAGATACTACCAAGGAGCTTGTCCATGCTCTAATAATTTCACGCATGGATTATTGTAACCCTCTCCTGCTTGGTCTTCCCAAAAGCCGTACTGCACCCCTACAGTCTGTAATGAATGCTGCTGCTAGACTGATTTTCCTCTCTAGTCGGTTCTCTCACACCTCACCCCTCTGCCAGTCCTTACATTGGCTTCCTGTGTGCTATAGGAGTCAATTCAAGGCACTAACTCACACCTATAAAGCACTGAACAACTCTAGCCCCTCTTATATCTCCTCACTGATCCACAGGTATGTCCCTTCTCGGTCTCTCCGCTCTGCCCGTGACCACCTCCTGTCCGTTGTCCGCACCCGTACGGCCAACTCGCGCTTGCAGGACTTCTCGCGGGCGGCTCCCTTCCTATGGAATAGCCTGCCTACCACCATCCGACTCTCCCCTAGTCTTGCATCTTTTAAGAAGTGCCTCAAAACCCATCTCTTTAGGAAAGCTTACGGCCTCCAAGACTAACCCCTACCTCACATACCCGTCTCTTGCCCTCTCCTAAAGGGCAGCCCACCTTATTTGATTGCACATTCCTGTCCTAATGTGTTTTACACCCCACCTCCTATAGAATGTAAGCTCGATTGAGCAGGGTCCTCTTCAACCTATTGTTCCTGTAAGTTTATTTGTAATTGTCCTATTTATAGTTAAATCCCCTTTCATAATATTGTAAAGTGCTACGGAATCTGTTGGCGCTATATAAATGGCAATAATAATAATAATAAATAAGAAAAAAGGAAGAAGAAAAAAATATAGAAAACGTGGAAAACAACAGTCCCAGTGTGTACACACTAAAAATTCAATAATATGTATTCATTGTGCTCGAGGGTATCTATATACCTCCCCAGATTTTGCAAGGTTCCTACTTTGTGTAATTAGCCCCAGGGAAATGTGTTATGTTAAAATGAATATTGCACTTTAAATATATATATATATTTGGGCCCTGGGGTGGAGCACTTGGAGAGTAGGGTGGGCCAGTGCTCCACTCCACATTTTGGAAGTTGCTTGGAACCTACAGGTGAGAATTAAAGTTCCAGAGTTTCAATCCTAATTTACCTCACCTGAAAAGAATTGTTAATTACAGGTGCTATTAAGTACTCCCCTGCCAAAGAAGGAGAGAGATTATGTTTGATTTCTGTGAGTGGAAACAGAGAGCTGAAAAACCCTGAAACAGTAAAGATGTTTATGTTTATGTTGGGAAATGGATAAGCCATCCAACCCAGTTAGCTAATTATTTTGTTTAGCTAGTGCTCAGAAGAGCAAGGATTTTGTTTTATATATTTTGTTACAACCTTTTATACCTTACTGTGCATTTATTTTGGAACCACAATAAAAAGAGCAAGTCCTTTTACTTCATCCAGCGTGTGAAGTGTCTCTAAAGCCTGAAAAGACTGTGTGTAACACCCCAATCCCAGGACAAGGTACCAAGGTAAAGGAGTACTTTTGTCACACCGGGTAAATGTCCAAATGTGTGCCGAGGTATTTGCAGATTGTGGTTGTCTAGATGAGTCTTTGGTTTTTCGTGTTTTCTAAGAAGCTGTCAATAGGGAACTTTGGGCTGCGCACTCGGGTCTTGTTCCATCCCTTCAATGGCCCTGCTGAATTAAAAATAATACCAGCTTTTATTGCCTGTATGCTTGCACGTCTGCCAATCCCTATGTAGATATTTATTATATAACTTCCCATTTTTCTATAATTTTCATAGTAATATTCTATTAAACAGTAACTTCAACCACAAATATGGAGTTATTCAAATATTCCCTCCTAATATTGCATATTACTATCATTGAAAATTAAGGATTATACTTATTTTTCCTCTTTTTTTGTATAATTACCAGATTTTACTAATTACATGTCGTAAAGTCATGATTTTATTAAGGACAAGGAGACTCCTATTAGGCTTATCTCTTTCTTTTATTCCTCAGCAACAAAGAAAGATAAAAATATTCATAGCAGAAAAATAAACAAATGCCCTCAGAGGGTTAACCATTACATCACAACATCCTAGCCTATGAGAGCAGTCCACATAGCATATACTCCCATGTAACCGCAATCTACTCCTCTTTCCTGTTGATGCCGAAGCCCATAGTCGATGACAAAACAAATCAAAACGAATTAACTGAATCAAGACAAACAGCTTAGGTCTGGGTGGCGATTCCTTCCGAGGGAACGGATCTTTTGGAACTCATCCGTTGAACTGTGGAAGATACCGGTCTTGCTAAGAAGCGTCATAACGTGTCAAGCTGGAAGGAACAGAGAACAAATGGTAAAATATGTGTTAAACTTTGGTTCAGGACTATGAAAAGGCTTTGTTCGTGCCTTTTCCCCCTCTATGGTTCAGTATATAGGGCTTACTGAACAGATTAGACTAATGCTGTTCATATACCTAGTGAACTGTCGAACGGACCGACCACCCAGAACTGTCATGTGCTGCTTATTGACCTCGCTAATCGCAACATTCTAAATGGTTAGCTGGGTGGCTGTCGTTCATATGTGCGAACACGTGGCAGCGTCATCTTTAGCCGTGAACACATACAGCGGTGTTTGGTCGTCGAGTGCATGGAACTATAATCGGACACTTGATGGCGAGAACACCGCTGGGACTTCCATCTCTTCGTTCGTTCGACTGGATTCACTTAACAAGAGCAGCGTTCAGTGGAAACACACTACCGAACAAGAGACACAGACTAAGTATACATAATAACTGGTTACATTCATATTTCTGTTATATTGTGAACTACCGAACTAGACCGACTGCAAGCCCTGATTCTCTGGAACTGGTTTGGGCATGGGACCATGCGTGCGGTCGGTCAAAATGGGACTTCCATGGAAATCCTGAACCCTTGAACCATCCTGGGTGATTTTTAGAAATGTTGCTCCCCCAGATCAGGGCTATCAGGCGATATGACTATATTGGG